AATTTTGAATAGGGTTTCATTGTGAATACGTTTTCTTTTACCTTCACCCATGTCTCCTGACGTTTACATTGTCCGACACCGGTGAATAGGTAAAACCGGGGTGCCAAGTAAGGTGAACATATTTGGCTGGCATACTCACGCCTGGAGTCAGGTGTGCCAACGCTAAAATCACCATGAAACCCACCGAATTCGCAACGTAAACCAAAGGTGGTAAGAAAAACGAGACTGTTATGAAGAGGTGATTGCCGCATCGTTTGTCGACATCCTTTGATGACGGTAGGTTAGAATCTTTCTGATGTTAATACAACTGGTGGTGAAAATGCCAATCTGTGTGATGATACTGTTGTATACCGCATGTAACTTCAGCCAAATTTCTTGACGAATACTGTATGTACCATTATTATGTCAATATTGAAAGTAATTTTGTTTGTGTACATTGGACAGCGAAGAACTTCACCAGTTACACCTTTTGGAATCTTGTGGTGTTTATCTTTTGGTTTACTTGTCGTTGTTATGTGTCCGACTGACACATGTTCGCTAGGGTAAGGCCTGTCATATTCCGGTGAAACACAGGTGATGCCCGCTCGCGTTATCCAGTTCACTTTGGGACACGTTTGGGACGAATACCACCACGCACGCTCAAACCACAGCGGTGGTCACTGACAAAATACGTCTATCAGTTTACAGTGAAAAGCTGCTGGAAACAAAGGGAGCAGAAGAACGTGAAATGACACTGGGAACCCTGGTTTGAGTATTATACATGTACTGCATACATGTATTATGCAGTCCTGGAACCACCAATGAAGTGCAATAAGTAAACAATTTGCGCATACACTCACTCATGAACTTTTCATCATTATCTCAAGCAAGAAGTACAAACTGTTACAATGGAAGTATTAGCTTCAAGCTTTATTTTTCTCCATGTAATACCTGTAATGTCTGGATGCAAACCTGGTTTTTTTTGTTAATGCGAAGACAATACCTCCACTGTCCAACTTGCAAATTTTTATGGACTTATTCTGCTGGGATGTTCCATTATATGAACATGCAGCACTTATATCTTCTATTGACAACGGGTGGGGGTTGAGATTACCTTCCAGGAAGATGCATGTAATTTATATATAAACTTATTCATACCCATAAAAACGGTGTGTGTCTGTTTATTCAGGAATAAATATTATAATTATCGTTAAACACACTGACGGTAAACTGCATGAACTGGGGGCTAATCGATCTCATTTTCTGCTTTGTACAGTGGGTGCTAAACAAGTGAAGGCTGGACGGGAGCAGTTTAAACTTCGATATAGGCCAGCTCAGTCTTCGTGGGCACATCTCAGCGTTCTGTTGTGTGTTGGACGTCCCACTTTTTACCATTACTTGTATTCTTCGTGATGGGTTTCTTTTTCTATCTGACGCCACCTTCCACACTCAGTGATACGGTGTTCGTTGCTGGATGGCCTTCTGGGCAGGATCTGTTCACAGTCACGTCACAGTGATCCCACAGCTTTCAGTGTTTATTTTTGTGGTCCGGTAGGTCATCATGTTTTGAAGGTTTTAGCGAAGTATGAATGGGAGCAATCAAACTCCTCTGTAAGCTAATCTATCAAATAGCGCATGATTATTGTGAGGTCAAGTATGGGGCGAAGTAGCGAATCAAGGCTAGCCGGGAAAGCGCAGCGATAAGGTCTAGTGATATGCAAACTGACTGATCCTTCTAACGACAGAAAGTTAGAGAAGGTCTTGGTCACTGCTGCACATGCACTGGCTTGTAATCATACTATTAGTAAGAAGGGGGTGATGATTCTAAAATCCATTACAGAGGGGTGGAGGGAGAGGTAAGTTACACAATACACATTCATCAAATCAGCACTTAACACGTACGGAGGGGGTGATTTATCACATCACAAATGTTGAAATTTTATTACTGCTGGAATTAAAAGAATGGAATGTTGGACTATATAAATGAGGTATTGAAGAGGTATACCTACTCCGATTTGTTTATCGGCAATAAATTATGCTGAAGGCGTCATCCAACAGTTAACGCGGCATCACTGTATGCCGTACAGATAAGCAGTTTAATCCGGAACTACACCCCATCACGATATCAACGTTTGAGCCCCACATTTGTCTGCCGGTTTTATTTTGCAGTCAGACGTGAGCATATTTTTCTTGCCTACTGAGTTAGTGGCTGACCTTTTCCCTTTTTCCTTTTAGACCCCGTGCTATCAGAACGGACTACAATCATCGACGAAACACCACTCTTCGGCACCCTCCTCATGAGCGCATCCACCGGCTGCAGTATACCTGCTGGCAGCATGCCAGTTTGGGTAAATCTTCCATGTTTGACCACATAAAATTTCGATGTATAACAACACAAAGGAGTGGCGCCTTTACTGAGCAAAAATTCTTTCTAGGATTGTGGTTGACGTTTGACTATTTCTCGGTATTTTCAACTAGATTTGTTCTAGTTTAAAAGGTTGGGGTTTCTGTTAACTCATCATTTTTTAGAGATTGTTTTTTTGTGATTATTCGCTTATTTTTAAAATCCATGCAGTTTTATGCAGACCACAACCAGTTCAGTAATGGTTGGCAAAGGAGATATGTTTGCCGGTCAGGGCCGTTGATTTTTTTGCAAGCAGGTATGCGGCGTGGTGGTTATGATGGCTGGTATCATACTGCACCAAATGACATGAACTAGACAGAGTACATCGAGTGGATACAGCACGAATCTAAATGGTAGAACAGACTCGGAAAATGCAAGTGTGAAGTTCTTTTGAAGGAGTCATAAATCTACCAACATCGGTCAGTATAAATTTGTTGGTTGAATGGAAGGAATCCAACGGATAACAGATAGTTGCGTATGGCGAGTAGGAGTTTGAGGTCATTAGCCACGAGAAAAAAGAAGAGCCTATGATAATCACGAGACTGGCACGAAGAAAGCTTTTGTCCGGTAACACGGTGCGTCTGGGCACCACCATCTCTCCCTCTCTTCATGAGCTACCTAAAAATCACTTGTTTCCGGAAGCGCATCAAGAGGTACTCGAGTCTCACCCCGGAAGCCACTGAAGGGTGGACTGAAGACCTCCTACTTCAAGGGAAGATTTTGACTCGTGACTTCAGTCGGGTCCACAGCTTCGGTGGCATTAAAGGACTCAAAGCATAGATATGTCTTACCTAGGACTGATGAACAAGGGCATCGTGTTGATTGTCTTCATCCAACTGACATCTCTGTCAGTGCCTTAGAGCGGTGAGTCTCTTAGCCAGGTGATTACAATTTACAGGACCGGACAACTTGAAGTTGGTTGCTTTGAAGTGGTCAGTCAGTGCAAGTAATCCAGCCCTACAGAAGGTCGATGGCCACTAGGACAGCTCAGCGGTAACATCACTGACTGCGGCACTAGGTGATGCGCGTCGCAATCTCAGGCGGGAAAGAAGTCCATTCCTGATCGCCTATATGCATTGCCGACGAGTGCCAAGGAGCACGAAACCTAGGTCCAGTGATTCCTGCCGATCGACACCATCCAAATCAACATGGCCTGGCCCAAGGTATCGATAAACAGAAGGCAATCAGCAGTAGTACCCGGTTTAGCCAGTGAAGTGGCTAACAGTGGTCGGCATTTCGGGGATTACTTCGGGTGTGGCCTACTGGTTCTCAGCAGCTGGACATGTATCGTTATAAAGCAGGAGATCAAACTACCACCCATAGTGACTGGAGTGACTGACAGAGTACTACAAAATACGAGGACGCTACCAACGCGATGAGACACTCAGACTGCTGGCAGTAGCCACCGTTCTTCCTTAGAACTTGTTCTTCACTGAGCTGCAGGAATCAGATGGCTGTAAGCCACGAAACACCATAAGGAAACTATGGTGAACCAACCAGTGGAAAACTGTTGCTGCCAGGCAAGTGTGAATGTTCCAATATCTGAACACCACTGACACAAACTAAACGCTTTAGCAGATCGGCCCACGAGGTTTATTCTTAAAGTCAACGGCATCAGAAGGCCTTCCATTCTTGTGGCTCTTACGGAAAATCTTTCACAGCTTTGGTGAAAACATGCTTCAGATCCTATACCCGACAAGACTACAACCCCCTTAGGGTCATGGATTCAGGTAAGGAGCCCATATTTCGTATGTGAAAGTGACTTACTAAAGCGGGTTGAGAAGGCAAGCATCAAGATAGTTAAAGAGCTCTTCACTCTCTCATGAGGTAGAGGTTTGATGAATGAAGTCTTTCAAATGTCTTTCCGTAGGGTGAAGGGTGATCACATTTCGATGTGTCATATCTGGAATAATGATTCAAGTCGCAACTTATCTAACCCATTCCTCCGGGGTAGAACTCTTTATATCAGACAAATTTAAGTTAAGCTTTGTGAAATATGCCTGAATTGCATCATATCGCTCATGGAGTTCGAACAGTAGGTACTCAACCGCATGTCATAGTGTCCTCACCACAGATTAATTCTATCAAGGTAAGGATAGACCTCCACTACCACCCGTGAAGATTATTATAGGTCACTGACATATTATCCTTGGTGCTGAGAGGTGAAAAAACTGGAAGACGACTAACTTAGCCTCACTCACCTAAGTTCTGCATATCTTTGCATCCCTCTTGTTCTACCTAAGTGCACGTAGATTACTCTTTCATTTTCCTTTTCTGTGTCTTCAACTCATACACACTTGCCTTTCTAGGTTATCAACTCGCTACCATCTAAATCTCCTGTACGACCCGTATGAACAGCTTCCCGGCACCTAATCATTTGAGTAACCCAACTCCACCACAGTCACAGGCAAACTAACCAACACCCGGCCGTCTGTTGGGTATCTCACAGTTATAGCAGACAAATGGCTGAACCTGCTGCATTAGAATTCACCGGAGACATGGAGCCATCCTACAAGACATAGAAATGAACATGAAGATATAAACAAGTTTACACGAGCAAGTTAGACAGACACAGGATATTGGATATTGTAAATTGAACTGTATGCTTTGACCTTCTACGAAATCAAACGTAAGATTACTACATCTTCGATTGAACTTAGCCTTAGTTGTGTTGCCTATTTTGATGGAGTCTGTTGAGTTTAAGCCTTTATATGGCACAGAAACCCGTACAAAAGCTGTAGAGTGTATCTTGGAGCCTCTGATTTCAAAGGTGAAGTGTTTTATGCGCAGAGGTCATTTCAATGGGTCGTATAGGCTAAAATCTAAACCACCAGACGAAATTTTATCAAAAGTCAAAGAAGTAATTACTTCAAGTTTTTCAAAGTTAATACTGTTGAGGTTTTAAAGGCTCTAAATGATAACTTGGGTGTTTCTCAAAGTGTTCCATCTCTGGCCTCAGACTTTCTAACTGCTAAGACGGATGTTCTTGATACAGGAGAATACTTTTGTTCTTCAGTCTCTAGCTTCCTGTCAGACCCGGTTAGCACATCCTGTCAAGGGGACGTCTGTCGAGCTACCAATGCTTTTCTAGCAGCTTTGAGTAGACTACTTATTTTAGCTGATATAGCTGACGCCTTGGTCCTTAATCAACATTTTGAGGTTGTACTTAATGGAATCACTGAATTCCAGTCAATCAATTCACACAGGGTAAGTGCTGAGTTTCCCATAGGTGTATTGGCTCTAAAGTTTTTCCTTACAGAAATATTTATTTATGCCTAGCTTTACTAATTTTATCCGATTTTGGTTTGTATGTGTTATCAAGATATTAAGTCCGTGTTTACTCCGGAACGTTTAAAAACGGGTTCTGGATGAGCTGTTACATCTTGTTAAGACCAGAAGTCTTGAGGTTCTTTCCAAGAACGCCCAAAGATATCCATGTAGTCCCCCAACTTCATTGTTGCAAACTACATATATCGCTCCACAGACGTCACCTACGTTCAAATTATTAAAGAGATCGTGGGAGCAGCTAAACATCGTTGCTTCATGCTTTTTTAGAATCCCCCTACAGCGAGTAATACAAGTTTAACTACAAAATACTAGTTTCCAATCTGGTTTCTGATTGGCATTGCAGAATGTGTGCTTTTATTAGCATTTATCAGGGATCAAAGCATGGATATGATGAATCTTTACTGAGCTGCATCTTTTACTTCTCCGTAGAACTATTTGGTTGATATCTCACCAGTTTTTGGTCTTAAACACTAAGTAATAAACGTCTTCGCATAAGAAATGTCTGTGTTGATCCGATATTAAAATGGGACCGTAAAACTATTTTATCGCTTGAGAAGGTCGGCGAAAAATTGCTGCCCATTTGAGAGCACGTGTTTTGACAGCGACCACCCATTAGTTGGAGGAGATGCATATTTACGCCTGAACAGACGTCGAAAAGCTATAGCAACAAAGCCATTGTTCGTGCAGCTCGATAATTAGAATACTTAAGCTTTTCTGAGTGAAAAACTGATGAAACGATTATTGAAACATGAAGATGTTGCTGACCCATAAGAAGCCTAATTCGATCTCAGCTCTGCTGTAGAAACAGCACTTGAGACCATAACTGACTCAGAAAGTTGTTAGAATTAGTGGATGTGCATGAACGCATTCCTGAAGACTCCAACCACAATGACGCTTGACAGCAACTCAAATGTAAACGGATGATAAGTCTTCACAGTCACCTTGAGGAGTGACGGCTATCAAAGGTTAAAAAGATGGAGAAAGCCATGGCGATAGGTAAGAGAAAACAGTTATTCGGCAACATAGATCCTTACGCAGTTATGCCTGGTCCTGTTGATATTGACGTTGGTGATGATGTTATTCGAAATTGCTAGGAAAATTAGGGAAAAATCCTCAGTAGTTTACCAGACAAAAGAATAGAAGCATAGGCGTGCGGTCCACTTACAGGTTAAGCTACTGGAGCAATGGGCAGAACACTTTGAAGAACAGTTCAACTGGTCTTCAGCTATCATTCCGTTGCCCGTTATCCAGTCAAATCCTGAATGAAATATTGAGATATGACCTTCAACAGTTTCAGAAGTTAAGGAAGCTGTATTTGACTCGAAACAAGGGAAAACAACAAGACCTGACGGACTGGTTCCAGAGGTATTCAAAGAAAGTGGTCGAGGTTTATTGGTCTGGTTAACTGAACTAGTAACTAGTTTATGGAAGTCAGATGCGATCCCCTATGATTGGTCTCAATCATTGATTGTCCCAGTCTTCACGAAAAGCTGGAATTCCTCTTGTAATAACCACCATGGGATCGGCCTTACGAATACAGCGTATAGTGTCTACGATTCTCAGTTCTATAGTCACTAGATGTCTGAATGCAGCTCAGGAACTACAAGCCCAAGAAAACCAGGCAGGCCTCAGATTTGTTAGTGTGTCCATCGACCAGGTATTCACTCTCCATCAAGTTATTGGAGAAAGATACTTACTGAGGCCCGACACTAGCTGTCTACAACCTCATCGATTGACTTGTTTGTCTTGCCTAGTACCCTTCGCCTGACCTCAACATTGCTCATACGGTGATTCCACCGAACTACGAAAACACATGATCTAAACCCTGTAACGGTATCACATTGTCTACTTCTAACGGTTATGTCTCACAGCCATATATAAAGACAGAGCGGAATGCAGCACAGCATACTTGCCCTTTGATAGATAGTCGAATATCTCGCCGCGTGGCGTCGCAGATGACGCAAGTTAGCGGATGCTAGTTGGGCCTTCTGTATCCGAGCTGAGATTTTGTCAGCACCCAACGGGTTCGAGCTGATGCAACTCCTCAAGTGAAGTAGTTGGCACATTCCTTGTCATTAGACTTGGAGTACTTGCAGCAGATCAATCCATGAGCATCATCTAATATTTGACAGGTGCCAGCGAAACGCGTGCTTAGTCCACTCAGATTTCTGCACAACGCGTTCAGAAGACTCTGCCCGCATTTTGTCCGCGTCTTCACCTGGCAGGACAGTATTGTCTTCATACTCCAAGTTAACCAGATGGCCTTCAGGGAGTGGGTGAATCCTTTCAAATTCACTTGTTCGTAAGGTAATGTCCATCATTATGTCTACGACAAAGTTAAACAGGAACGGTGACAGTGGATGCAAACTTGAGAAAGTCTGTTTTGATGATGTTGTTTAGATGGACAATGGAGGTTTCACAATTAAGCCATGTAGCTCAGAGAACGCAACACCATCCATAACAAGTGTTCTACCACCATTGTTCTTTAGATCATTGTGATATGCACCTCATTATATTGTGAAAGTAGCAGCTACCAGATGGTCTGCATGCTGCAGTACCACTACTGTCTCATGGTTAATTTGGTGGTCAATTCGTAAGAAACAACATTGATCCTGTGATTGTCTCTTTCGGAATCCCATATAGAACTAAAGAGTTCATAATTTGCTGTCATTCAAATCCGTCTTTAGTCAGTGGCTTATGAGAGCATGTATACATGCTCGTGTATTTTATAACCGTATTAGAGTTATACTGGTTAGTGAAGACTGCATTTATGTGTAATATGTTATCATTTAGGGGATTACCGCTTTTCTCTATCGCTAGTCGGTTAGGAAGAAGCAAATGATTTTTTCGAAAATGATGTTCTGTCAATTCTTGGTTTCTAATTTGACATTTAGGAGGTATCGACTGGATAGGTTAACAAGTATGTCGATTAGTAGCAATGGGTCATTATAATGTCTAGAAGGTTTTTCTTGTCACTTTAAACTGTGTTAAAAATCTAAGATTTTAGCTTTACCCGAGTTATTTAGTCAGTAATGACTGTAGAGCTATACTAACCACGCCTCTTGTTTGCCTCCTGATTTGAATGAACAAACTAGGCACTACGGAGTCACGAACTGGTTGTATTTAATTTTCCTGCTGTAGATTCGATGGATTAGGGGCCATATTCTTCGTTTTTGTTTGTGTGCAAGTAACTTTATTGTTATCTTGTAGTATACTGTACTTACATTCGTTTTGTGTTTCACTGGCGAATGAATCTCTATATTATTTTTTTCCGAAGCTGTTTCTTGGGCTATGTGGTGTTGTTCGTGTTACATAACTGAAAAAATCCAGCATATAGTCACCTAATACTTCAAACCTAATAGGCTACAAACAGCTTGGCTTAGATACAAGAGGTACATATGGCATCAAATGAACTACCACATCTGTAGCGCATGTGAGATAACCGACTGTAGAATACTTCATTGTCCTACTAACCGATTGAAAGATGACCGAATGTAGATGTGCCTCATTGATTTAAGCATTTGACTTTCAAGCGCTGCGTTCCGGGTTGGAATCTCGTGCCCCCCCACCTCAGCAGTCGGGTAGTATCACAAGCCCTCACATAGCAATTGTGAGTCACAGCCTCACTTTGTGTTGCATTTGTTGGCGCCCATGTTCTGCTGAGTTTGTGTTGATTAATAGTATAAATGAGACATGACCGTCGGAATTAGAAAACATGAGGTGGATACAAGCTTTTGATCACAGGTATCTCCCTAGCTTCGCTCACGCGTAGTAGACTCATACAGTGCGGAGTGTTGAGGTTGTGTGGATCAATAAAAAAGGAAAGCAAATCAGTCTACGAGGTTGTGGATCTTCACTGACTGAGTTGGCTTGGGTAAGTTTTGAAGTGTGACAAATGAAACTGATTTGCTTCTGTGCAAAGTTCTATGCTGGTTTGTCTGTCTGTTTGGTACGGTTCAGCTGCATACATTGTGTAAATTTTAACGGTTTGAACAAGGTGCATTTGCTGAAATAGAGAGAATTGGGCTAAAACGCGAGACCGATTATGAAACGAGTATTGAAACAGTTAAGATCTTAGTTCGTGTACTTCGTTTTAGGGATCAGGGAATGCATATATAGTTGGGATGAAAAACTTATTACTATCGCTTTCCCAAGCTAAAAAACGATTTGCTTTATGTGTTTGGTGAGAACTTCATACCACAAGATTTCTGGATGTGTACGCTAGGTAAATAAAAACTAACTGTATGTAAACTCAGCTACCGTAATTTCCATTCACAGAATCAGACTAGAAATGTTTGTTCTTTGCCCAGCACTGATATTTTATTTATGAATTTCCTTTACGCACATTTCCCCACATTGTGTGATCTGCAAATATTATTGTTGAGCTTTGCTTTTTGTAATCTATAGGAGCTTAACCGCTTGTGGAACAGCTTTTATCCTCACGTACTACAACTCATAAGTTTGTCAAGGAAACGTGCAGCTGACTTGATTGATCCTGAAGATCGAAGAAACATTGAATCTGCCAATTATGTGCTCAAAAACAACACTCCACTATTACAAACATCGTGTAAGGTAAGTCAGGTTGGTCAGTTATTGTAGTTGACTCACCCAGTTAATTACATAATTACATGCATTAGATGAGGATGTTTGTAGGTTCTATCAGTTCACCAGGTTTTGAGAAGTGAAGTTTTGGCTTCTTTAATTAGGTACTTTATTTTAAGTTTGGCTCATGAGTTCGCGTCCCTATCTGTCTACCGAAATCTAAGCTTTCAAACAATATGTTTGCCATCGCCCCCCCACCCCCCGACTTAGTATTCCGTGGATTATAGTCTTTAGCGGGAATCTGCACACGACCGGTAAGTTTCTTACTTATTTAGAAAATGAAATTGGTACGGCATTGGTACCAAAAATGTGGCCTCGTAATGTCATTTAAAATTATAAAGATACCAAAAAAAGTTAAGAAGGAAAGGAAGGGAATTAAAGCAAAGCAAAGTAGAAGGATTATCAAGGAAGCTGTCTTATAAGACGCATTCATAAAAGTGTTCACTACTATTGTATCACTTTACAACAACAGAACTGACAAGAAAACTACCACTAATTTTAATTCTGCGCTCTATTCAATATCGTTTCGACCCACTAAATTCCACTGTCACTCAAACTCTAATCCAGATGCTAACACCAATACAACTATCCTTCATCCTGTGGCACCACATCTAGCGTCATTTTTAACATTTGCATAATAGAACAGAGAGACTACCAACGCTGCGTCCTCGTCCTTAAATAGGTAGAGGGATATCTCAATGATAGCAGGGGTGACGAAGGTTGACAAGTGCCAAACCAGTCTCTTAATATCCGGGGTAATTTGACTCCAACTTCACAAGTAAGTGAAGTGGTCTATACATTCTACCACCTCACTCTTAATCCTTAAACTAGAAGGTTGCTCAGAATAGTTCTACAGTATTATTCTACATTTGACAAGTGTGATACGCATGCCGAACATACTCGGATTTCCTCTTAAAGCGTTCAGAAGACACTACATTTTCTCAGCACCCTAACCCTAAATGAATAGGTTGCGTACTGAAAGTCAAGCAGATGCCCACTAGTGAGTGGGTAAATCTGCACGGTCTTTGAGGTTTCCTGTTTTATATCCATTACTACGTCCATAACAACGTTAAAAAGGAAACGTGACAGCGGGTATCCTTGGTGAACACAGCTAGTTTTCGTGACCTAAGATGACAACTCCCTGTAAGCTTTTACTTAGCTGCATCGGTTCTAATAGAGAGCTTTGATTAGCATTACATATGCTCCCGTTACGCTTTTCAGTCACAACGCCTCACAGTCGACAGAGTTGACTTCTGCCTTCAGGTCTAGAAATATGGTAGGCCTCGACCCCCAGTAAGTATGCTTGTGTTCCATAACCTGTCGAAGGGTGAAAACTTCATTGATACGCCCCCAACCAGATCTGAAACCCACCTGGTTTTCACGAATTTGTTCTTCTCAAGCTCCATTTACGCAGGCGTCAGATAACCATGCACTCGACGATCTTGGAAACCATCTTAGTCAAACTGATCCCCCATGACTGTCACACGAAGACTTTTCTCTCTTCTTCTAGGCTGGAATAGTCAGTGATCTAGACCAGTTTCACTCGACCACCCTTGAGTCGCATACGCTACCCACTATCTCTAATAATTTATTCAGTAATTTTCCACCTTCTTCCTCAAAATCCTTTGATGGTAAACCGTCAGTTCCTGCTGCAATGCATCTTTCCAACTTACAAACAGCCTTTTCAACTTCGAAGAGAGTTGGAGGAAGGACACTGACTTCCCATTCAGCTACAGGCTGGATGGTAGGCAACTACAGTGTAACCGTTATCCAATTAAATTGTTTTGCCAAATGTTATAGCAACCTCTTCTGATAGGTTATGAGAGACCCGTCCTTTTTGATGATGGTTTTACTAACCATCGTCTTTTTTTTCTGAGTAACTGTGAAGTCTAAATAATTGCTTCCCACTACTTAATGTTGGTGCCCTGTCCATCTCTTTCACCTTTGTCACCAGTTACTGCTCACTATTATTTCCAAAACTTAATCAGTTTACATTTGAGCTGCTTTTGGTGTTCACTATGATAACAGGCATGAGTCTTCATGCACCAATCAGTTTAGACGACATTGCTGATATCTACTGGCTCTTCCTAACATTTAGATGTAGATTACCGACAGTCTGCACTAATATTTCAACATCAGACTGAATATCACTCTAGGCTGGTTCAGGAACAGAACTACTGCTATGTTCAAATAAATACTTCTCTATCTCTTTCTTAAGAACACGCTTGATTTCCTGATCTTCCAATCGAGCACGCAGAAGCCTTACTGTTTTCTCTTTTTTCTGTGTCCATTAAGGCGTTGACATACATGTGCTTGTTCTAATGCGTCCTTTGAGTGCGAGCGGGTGCTTCACAATGAGCTGCAATACTCCACCATTCCTGTCGAACTATAGCTTTTCGCAACACGATCTACCTGTGTTCATCGTTAGTTCGGTGTAGATGGACGCCAAACGAGACTGTCTCTCTTTATTCTTGAAGTTAATGCCGACCAAAAACAGGTGACCGTCATAACCGAATTGCAACGAACGGTCACCGTTCCCGGTTCTTTGGCATAAGATTCCGTAAATACCTTCAGGCTGTCTAACCGAATGATTCAACTTTCCTAATTGATTGCTGAAGTTACTTGCTATTATGACTATTTCTAAACATTTAGCTTTTTGTATCAAAATTGACAGCTTCTGATAGAATTTATTCTTTCTATCATCTGAAATGGGGTTGGTGGGTGGGCGTAGACTACGAATAGACGTCGGCGAGTGTCACGATCTTTCCATGTCCTTACAGATCCATTCAGTTGAACAGTACACAGATAGCTGTTGATTGATATACAGTCGGGAAGTGTGCTTCCCGCTCCATAACTTACTGCTGTGCCAAGAAGCACAAAATCTAGGAACGGGGCTTCCTGTCAATTGTGTCCAAGCAACTAACATACAAGGTGAATTTTGCACCTAAACACTACATTGGCAAGTTGAAGTCAAGTGAATAACCACACTCAAGTCCTGTATTCATGTTTCAAAAACGCAGCATACATCCATTATTCGGGATTCCAGAGTTTTGGCGAGAGACGCTTGTTTTCCGATTTAGCATATGATCTTCGATATTAGAAACTGCAATGTGGAATTGGCAGAAAGGTTTTGAGAGACTGGAAATAGTTTATGTCTGGCTTGGATCATGAGCAGTGGTCACAGATTTAGAAGTTGAAGTTGTGAGATACTTATTATTGGTGTCAGAATTGGAAGCAGGATGGTAGACAAAGGTTAAGAAGGTGGGTTATGCTTATTTGGATACAGTATGCTACTGGAAACGTGGAGGTGGTTGGTCCTTTGCCACTACTCAAACTGTGAAAGCCGTTTCCGCGAAGGACCTGAAGGAGACTTCTTTTGTGTGACCTCATAGTCCACGGGAAGTCTGTTTGAAACATATCACAAACGAGTTTATGAATTTCTTGGATTCAGATTTAATTATGTCAACGCCAGACAAAAACACAAACCACTGTCGTCGAAAAACTGCAGGGCACGGAAAAGTGTTATTTTCAGCACCAACCTGTTTTAGTCCCTGATCGTTTCTATAAGAAAGCAGCAGCATCCGCGTGAAACACTTTACAGCCAGAAGTGCGACTTTGCCCTCGGACCTTGGTTGTAACGTAGCTATTCTCCATTATGACAATAGTTGCATTTTGTCTCATCGCTTTTAAATAGACATTTCTGGTTCTATAGAAATGCAAGAGAACAAGTGCCCTGGAGTCATAGCTCCTTGGGTCATTGTAATATGCAAGCCTCATCATCACGTCATGGAGACAGGTTGTTATCTTGGTGATTGAGACATTTTTTAGAAGGGTAATGATGATGGCTTTATTTTCAAATATTGGAACACTCAATCTACCATACTTCCTCTAATAATCTGATCCCTTTTCTTTACAATTAGTCTTCTAAGTATTTTAAGTTCGTGTTTTGAAGTGCTTCGCTCAAAGTTTCAGGTGTCTTTCAAGATTGTTGGTCGATGTACTTTCTAACACAAACTACTTCACTGATACAAGATTTTCTGTTACTAGTGGGTGGGATGATTTTGAGCAGCTTCGAACTATTGCCAAATCTAGCTACTTCTCTCTGGCCATCTGATCTGATCTTCAGTATCGAGTGAATAAATGAATGAGTAAGCGTAGGCGGCATCTGTTGATGAATGTCTGTAGTTTGTTGGAAATACTTTTGGTGACACGCCAACTTTCTCAACCATCATATAGCAACACAGACTTGACGTTGGTGTTGAAAATGGTGATCTTGTTCACGCTATATGGTGAGTGGAGTGGATCTCCACACTGATATCAGATTAATGAAGGTCTGTGTTGCTTTCTTTGCAATCGTGGCTGGTTTTGACATTGTCATCTATGCCTGCGCCATCTGTAGTTGAAACGATGCTGTCTTGACTGGGTAGGTGAAAGAGACTACTTTCTTTAAGTTTCTTCCGTTGATGGTGATTGGTGCTTTCTGTTGTTGTTGTTGGTTGGGTATATTCACCACCTCTGTCTTCTTTATGTTCACTTGAAGTTACGTTTTCGCTGCTTCTTCTGTCATCTTGTTAGTTTTCTCCTGTAGATCTTCGAGTTTGTGTGAAATTAGACATAAGTTATCACTGGCGAAGTCCAAATCTTCTAGGGTCTTTTCGTCAGTCAAACAGCATATGCCGATCTTCTCGCTCCTCACGGTTTGCTGCATGATCCAGTCCAGTCGACCACAATCAGGACGATCATCGGTGAAAGTGGGCGGCAACCTTGTCTCACTTCTGTATTCACTTCAAAGGCGTCACTGAGCTTTCCATTGTGAATCACTCGGGATGTGGTGTCTTCATATAGCTGCTGAATGAGGTTGATAGATGTTTGTGGCACTAAAAGTGTAGTGTTGAAGCAGCTGCCTTACAAATAACTTCTTGGTTGACGCTTTCGAAGGCCTTTTCAGAGTCGATGAAGTTGAGGAAGAGAGTTGACTGTCATTCTATGCTCTGTTGTATGATGATGCGTAACCTAGCGTTGCAATTTGATCCACACATGGTTTGTACTTCCGGAAGCCAGCCAGCCAGCCAGCCAGCCAGCCAGCCAGCCAGCCAGCCAGCCAGCCAGCCAGCCAGCCAGCCAGCCAGCCAGCCAGCCAGCCAGCCAGCCAGCCAGCCTTATCTGCTCGTAATTTTTAATCCAGTGCATCCTTTAGTCTCTCCAGTATGATGCAGCTTAATATTTTGCTTGGGGTGGACAGGAGCATGATTCCGCGCCAGTTCTTGCAAAGAATTAGGTCTCCCTTCTTCGGAAGTTTGACAAGATAGCCCTTCTTCCAGTCTGAAGGTACCTTTCCTTCCTTTCAAACCTTCTGCAATAGTGGTATGAGCGTGTCCGCTGTTGTCTCTGCTTCTGTTTTCAGTGCTTCTGGAGGGATTCAATTTGGTCCTACTGCTTTCCCGGATTTCAATAACTTTATGGCATTCAGGACTTCGGGTTTTGTCGAGTGGCTCGTGTTCACTGGTAATTCCGTGGCTGCTGGTGGTATTTCTGGACGAGTTGCAGGTGGTTGTGGTGTTGGTGATCGATTCAAGATTTTTTTAGAGTGGTCAGTTTATCGTTTCCTTGGTTTCTCCCCTTTGATGTTAACTAAGTTTCCTTCACTATCTTTCATTGGTTTCATCTGTGTTGATCTCTTCCCTCCCAGATAGTAACCTGGTTACTTGATATAATGCTGTCAGGTCTCTGTCTCTCCTACCTGCAGACAGTTCTGCTTCACTTGTAAGTTTGGCGCAGAAGTGCCTTTTGTCTTTGAGCGCACTCTTCTTCACTTCTTTGTACAGTGTGGTGTTTTTTATAGGTTGTGTTCCAATCCTCTTTTCGTTGTTCGTCCGTGCACTGTACTGTACTGTACTATACTGGTCCATCTTCTGCTCCACCATCTTCCTCTCCCTGCTCTATCAGCTTCCATGTATCCGTTGAGATCTATTCTTCGTCCTGTTTTTTCTTCCTTCATGACGCGGTTATGCATCAGGTTTCCTTCCATGTCTTTTTCAAAGAGTTCCAGTATTCTGCCACATAGGTTTCGTCAGGGGTGTTACCTGATGTCTCTCATTTTTTCCTGATATGTAACGTGAAGATGTCCTTTGAAGTTTCGTCTTTAAGTTTCTGGGTGTTGAACTTGAACTGTAGTCTATCAGCAACTTCTTTGAAAGCTTTGAATTTGATTTCGAAGTTAGGTTCCTTGCACTAGATAGTCTGATGGTCTGAACCTACATCTGCTCCCCTTCTTGACCACATCTTGTATCTAGTAGCCTGCGTCTCCATCTCCAATTTCTTCACATTCAGATGAAGTCGATCTGATTGTTAGTGTAGTGTGTCCATCTGGTGAATGGTGAAATCAAACCCATGTCGCTTTGTGAATATCTTTCTGTTTTTTTTTCACGCTGTCTCGAATCACCAAGTCGTTGAATGTCAAGAAGTCTGCAAACAATTCTCTATTCTCGTTCATTTCACCGAGTGCTTCTCGACCCATGATGACTTCTCTTCCTGTGTTGTCCACTCCCAGTTTCGCATTCATGTCACTCCACCCACTAGAATTCTGATGTCGCCAGCTGGGTTGGGATCTCGTCCATTACTGATTGGAGTTATCTGTAGAATTCCTCCTTCTTCTCTTGATCTGCATTACTTGTAGGTGCGTAGTGTAGAGTAGCATTGTATGATTGTGACCTCCTTTCCTTTTGATTTGAACCTTGCTGTCATGATACTGATCCTGCAGAAGGAGACTGGCTCTCACTGGATGAGAGAGAGCCTTTGATGCTGTTGGTAGGGGACATCATGATAACCACTCGAAAACTCAGTGTGCTGGTGATTGTCGTCTGGGTGACAATATTGGAGTAGATTATTGACTCATTTCCAGTTGAGAGTTTGGAGAGTCCACTTGCATTCCATCTGCAGATTCCTCGTAGATTCCTAGCACTTCTATGCTATACCTTCTCATCTCTTTGGAAATCTGAACAGCCTTGCTAGGTTCAAACATGATGTGGACATTCCATGTCCGCATCCTTACTTTCGCTTTCATCGATAGAAGACACATCGGCCGACTGGCTTCCCGAAGGCTTTCACCAACCAGCGTCATTTCGTCTCTCCGATCCCAGTGAGGAATGTTTTTATATTTTCTTTGTGCTTTGAAGTTTGTTTAGCGGTTGGATTGGTTTTCCGGGTTAGGGTTGCTAGCCCTATGCCCAATCTTTCCTCTTTATCTGGGTTTAGGACCGCCTAGTAACTAGTGAACTAGTTACCTAGGCTAGGTTTTTACACTAGCATATTTTTCCAAAATCAAATCGAAACACACTCAACAACCACTTGCACGTTCGTGCTGTGGGCAATGAGCTACGCCTAAGCCATGAGGATTAGTGATACTACCTGCCTGCCCAAACCTCTGTAGGTAGAGCGGGTTTCAGACCCGTGACCCTCTGACTGGAAATCAACTGGTTAAACCGATAGACCACAGCTTAACACCAGCCGCAGTGTCATCGTTGGAGCAACTTCAGAAGAATGTAAATTTGATTTATCCTTCATGAGTATTCATGGGGACTATATTGCATACCCTAACAAGTAGAAAGATAGCTAATTTGTCAGTATTTTCTGATTAGTCTGCTGATTAAAGTTTGTTTCGTTTTTCTTCGATAAGTGATTCGTCGTCATTGTAAAACATGAATTGATATGTCTCGGCATTTAAATTGCATACGTTGATATGTAAGTTTCAATAGGTACTAAGGGTTAAAACATAATGTTTGTGGTTTCCCAAGTTAGATGTTTTAAGGAGATTTAAGGAGATGAATGTCAACCAATGGGTTATGGGTCCCAGGCCCGCTCCACCTATTGAGGTTTGGGCAGTCAGGTTGAATCATTAACCCTCACACGTCAGCTCATTGTCTACTACACTGTTGTGTACGTGTTTGGTGCAGCGCATTTTGACCTTTCTACTTTGCGTTATGAGTTCACTTATCGCATATGTTTGGTGAACAATAAGCTACGTACCAGTTAAGCTGTCTTGATTTCACCGTTTCAACTTATCATTTAAGGTAATTGCACGAATAATTTGTTTTTAACCTATTAGTCAAAGGAATTCATAGCACGTAACTTTTCCCTGAAATTATACTAATGATGAATGTTAATAATGTTTTTCTGTTGTTTAGGTGTGTCTCCGTTATCCTGACCACCCAATAACACGTGACTCACGGACTTTTATTTCAAATTCTTTATCCGATTCAGTGGAGATAATTCAATCAGTTTTCAATGGGAATCAGAAAACTAATGGTATTCGATTACGAACTTCTGGCAAACTTTTGGAAGCTTTAAATGAGTTCGAGGTAATGTTGTTATCTTATTGTGCTTTTTTTTCTCGTACAGTTTAACAGTTTACCCTATAGGAACTGTGGTATATTGGCGTAAGGGATTTTGATTCGGTCTAGGCGCTCTATTTCCAATCAAATGGATCACAGGTTTGAACTCCATTCCGCTTACCAGTGCTTGGGCAGCCAGCCCTTACACTATATGTACGGCTTATTGCCTGCTGTACGAATGTTCACGTGGTTACTGAGTCACACTTTCTGTTTACGCTACAAGTACATTTATATGTTTTCAGCACTCATGTTCACAGAATAATAGTTGTCTTGTATGCTTGACCACTTGTGTTTGCTAGCATTCTGGAATCCTCAGTCAAATTGGTCAGTTGTTTGTGAGACTTCGTCAGATAGAAGAATGTGCATGGAAATCCTTGTAAATGATATATTTGGTTAGTCGTACACCTTGTTACATAAGTGTGATAAGAGGGGATCACAATGATGCTATTAAGTATAGAATGTGTTTACTAGACAAACAGACAAAATCAACGTAGGACCCTGCATATAGGTGCATCGGCTGAATTTGATACACTTCACAGATGTACACAAAGAACAGGTAGATAGAAAAAGAGTGATATTAGAACAGATAAAGTTGTATGGAAGAACTAACAATCTGAAGGTAAATCTTAGTGCCAATACTCAAGCTTCCGAAGGTGTGAAGGAGTGAATACATATGTGCCATTGCGACCAATTGTCAGCAAATTCACCGAGGTTTCGTAACTACTGATCATCCTGGTGACCCCAGCCATGCAGTCTATATCTGTATGGTTATGAAACATGGGCATTAAAGGTAGAAGATATGATATGGCTTCGGGTTTTTGACCGCCACTACCTTCGTAGCACAGACCGTGTTTCATGGTGTCACCACGTGAATAACGTAGAAGTCAGACGTAGAGTTTTAGGTAGGAGAGGTAAGACAGGTGATGTGGTTGTAAATCTTCATCGACTGAGATGGCTGGGACATGTGTAACGTATGCCCAACCACCGTCTGCCTCGTCACAAAATGTTGGTCGAAGTAGGTTTAGAGTGGAAAAAGGCTCGGTGCGACCAGACTAAAACATGGCACGACCATTGGTTTGAGCCATTTAGGGCGATGCAGACTAGCCGGTTGGGGGGACAAGAGAAACCAGTGGTTGGAGATTCTAGTTGATATGACTGAGAACCAATGTGAGTGGCGCAGATGTATGCACACATCATCCTCATCTTAACCGCCATACTTAATTTTATCATTTTCTCATTCTTCCTTTCTCTGTCTTACTACTTTCCACTTCCACTCCATTTGACCGATTTTTCTTTGATTCTTCATCGTTCATTTTATTGCCTTGTTACTTGGTGTGGTGACATGAAGTGTGGCAACTTGAATCGTTTTGCAGTCATGCCTGGTCCTATGTTGGTCTTGATGATGATGATGAGTCTACATGTCCCCACTTGACTCAGACCAACAATCAGCGATTTTATCGACTGGTGCCATATCTTGATGTCGTCACCCTGAACCTTCTTCCTTTAGCATGGCACGCTGAGATAGGCAATGGCTCGGCCTGTGTAGTATATGTCCAAGCCATCTCAGTCGATTAAAGTTTACATCGTTATCAGTCGACTTACCTGTCTTATTTAGTACTTTTCGCCTGACCTCATCATTGCTCAGGGCTTTATATGTCTGTGTATGGCACCAAAATTTCACTTTGACTGGGATGTGACTAGTAAGGATGCAGTTTTATAGCCTCACACCAACGAAACCATTTGAGTACACGTAGCTTTATCTAAAATACATAAAAGGGAAATTTGGAACGAGTACTCATATATTTAGAATCATCTATACACCAAATTTTATTGGAATTTTTTGAAGCACGGTATCTGGCTAGGTATCATTAAAAATCCATAGTCCAGTGGTTACTACTGACAGGGTCATTCGTTAGGTGCTTGACTACCAACTAGTATCTCACCGGCTCAACTCGAGGTTTAGACAGCCAGGTAATATCACTAGCCCTCACGCAATAGGTGTGGTTCATTGCCCACTGCACGAACGTGCACAGGATTGTTAAATAGATTTCAATTTCGATGTGAAGAAAAATTTAATTGGCTCACAGTTACACTGTAGTTGCCTACCATCCAGCCTGTAGCTGAATGGGAAGTCAGTGTCCTTCCTCCAACTCTCTTCGAAGTTGAAAAGGCTGTTTGTAAGTTGGAAAGATGCATTGCAGCAGGAACTGACGGTTTACCATCAAAGGATTTTGAGGAAGAAGGTGGAAAATTACTGAATAAATTATTAGAGATAGTGGGTAGCGTATGCGACTCAAGGGTGGTCGAGTGAAACTGGTCTAGATCACTGATTATTCCAGCCTAGAAGAAGAGAGAAAAGTCTTCGTGTGACAGTCATGGGGGATCAGTTTGACTAAGATGGTTTCCAAGATCGTCGAGTGCATGGTTATCTGACGCCTGCGTAAATGGAGCTTGAGAAGAACAAATTCGTGAAAACCAGGTGGGTTTCAGATCTGGTTGGGGGCGTATCAATGAAGTTTTCACCCTTCGACAGGTTATGGAACACAAGCATACTTACTGGGGGTCGAGGCCTACCATATTTCTAGACTTGAAGGCAGAGACGCTATCAGAGTGCGAGACCTTCTGACCGCCTTGAGCAGAAATTTAAGTATGCTTTTTGCATCTGTCAAATGTAAGATGATGGTTCAGGACTGATCTGAGTTAACTTGTAGTTTAGGGATTAGGAGTGAATTGTTAGGACTCGTTGAACACTTTAATTAGTTGGGAAGTTTCATCAACCTGAATTGGCTTGGTTGCGGACATACTCTCAGCTGTTGTTTTAAGGCCTTTTTAGAATTTGCCAACATACGTTATCTCCGCAGCCGTTAAGATACCCCACAACCAATGGAAGAACGAGCATACTGTGCTGCTGTTTCTAATTATGCAACTGTGAGACATACTCGCTGAAGTTAGATGTTGTAAAATTATACTTGTGACCACATCGTTGCTTGCTCATAGCGAAGTCATCGTGTGTGTACTGCCAAGGTTAGGCGTGGGATATTCATGAAGGAAGTCATGTCAATGGATGAGGTTTCAAACCTTGACATACACCTACCAAATCTCCATCTTACTTGACATGCAATGTTGGCTAGTCTAGGATTGGGCTCAAAGAACTCCATCGTCAAGACGTTGCAAGAGACCATGACGTCTTTGACTTTCTATCTGAGCCATTTAGGGAAGTGTAGAAAGCCTGACTGGAGCTCTCGAGACTATAGGAATCAATATTTGTGAACTGTTGGTAACGTGGCGAAAATTGGCCGTAGTGATGTGGATACATTCACTTCTTTGACGTCTTTTAAAGCTTGAGTATTTTCACTAACCTTCATATCTTTAAATTTTTTCTTTTCTATACACTTTTATCTACTTCGATACAAAATGGTAATGCTTATTATTACCAATCAGCCATTGAGAAAGAGTGAGATGATGATTTCGTGATATATTGTTGCCCTTTTGAGCGGACGCGATCACACCATACAGTGAGTGTTAGTATCCCTACAATCTATTTATCTAAGAAGATCAGATTTATGATTAGACCGCTTTGTCTCCAAATTCTTCTCTGATGCTTAACAGTCTCATTATACTCTTCTAGTCACATGACAAACGGGTATGTAGAGGATTTCATTGTACATGTAACTAGTTTTATTCTCATATAAATGTTGTTTAGTTTATTTTGCTTTGTTAATTGCAATAATTACTTATCCCTTTTCTTTTAGAATAGTATATTCACTAACTCTGAAGCAAAATCTGCTGAGAATATCCGAGAAAATGTTCAGTATTCTTTAAAGAGATTGTTACTATTAGTGTATAAATTAGTTGATTCATCTAAGATAAATTCAAAACGGCGTTCCGCAATCGATGAACATTGTAATCAACTTAAAGATGCTACATCTGAACTAATGTCAGAATATTCTAAGAAGGTAAGTATTGATTGCTTATACCATACTCGTTTCGCTCTTGTTTTTCTTCAACTAATTTTTTGTCATGATAAGTTTTTGTTGCTAAAGAAACATATCACTAGAGCATTTCTAGTACATTTCCTTTAAACTAAATCAGGATAATAGTATTATAGATTGGGGTTGTGGATTAACTATTGTTTCAAACAGAGAAAAGTAACTGTATGAATACACTCGTCGGTTGGAGTACAGTCCGGCTGCTAACTAGTTGAACAAGCATTCGAATATAACCAAAAATAATATCAATACTGCAAAGTTTGTGGATAAACTGTGTTTGCTGTAGATGTTGCAGCACTCTGTCATAGCTCGATTAAGAAAATTTCATCAGAGTATGGAGTCAAGTACTTGTGATTCCCGAACAGACAGACAGGTGAGATCAACGCGATTCCTACTCAGCTGTCGACATGATAAAAGGGTTACCAATGCAGAAAAGGAGTTTTATGTTTGAGGGATCTACAACCTAGTTTTCTTCAAGATTTACATTGAGTCTTGTAAATTAGTTTAAGTGTTGGTGTGATAGTAGACCTGCTGAATGAGAACATTACTTCTTTGAGCTGGACGGTGTAATCTCGAAGCTTTCGTTGTCATTATTGTGCAGGAACTGTGAAAAACACGACATCGGACAGAGTGATCACCGTCTTCGTTTCCTTCCACATGAACATCAACTAGCTTGTTATTCAGTTCGGTCAGCAATCAACAGACGTATTGGCATTGACTCAATCTATCAACTATTCAGAAACAATAAGAAGGTCAGAGTTCACATGATCAGGGCAACCAATTGAAATGAATGTGGAGACAATGACAGGAGTTTGACGGAAACAACCAATCACACATAAGGCCATTAGGAGAAGTCACTAATTCAATTGTAGAGAAAAGGACATAGCTCCCTTCTTACTGAAGTGTGTGCTGATGATGTTGTCGAGAATGACACTGAGTGCTTCACGACTAAACCATCCATCTCAGAAAACACATTATCAAAATTATCCTTCAAAGCTACAGATATACTCCATCATCTTGAAAACACTACTTATTTCGCAACATAAATACTATAATCTAAATGATGAATAAATGATGGAGGAAATTTAACTGGATGTAAGAATATTCATCAAATCTGTTTTGTTGTTTACCAAGTAGGTAATGTGAATGTCCCAGCTAGCTAGAAACAGTCGTGATGAATCGGTGGAAGAATATGTAAGAGGTTAGATTCTGAAAGAGTATATAGTTTCGCATTTGCTTTGGAGCTGCGGTACTGATCTAACCGCTCATAGATTAGTTCACTAGCTGGTTATCTTGACGAATATGTAATGCCAGCTGTCATTGACTTACCAATAGTTTTTAGTATATAGCGCATATATTCAGTGATAATGTTTCCAGGATAGGCATTCTACCCGGTACAAACGTTATTGTACTAGACTGAGGCACAATTATTGTAAAAGTGTTTATCCCACTACTCTAGGCTGGAGTAGGTGAAACAAGCTTTGCAATCAAGATATCTGTTGCTTCAAGTCAATGAGCCATATGCCAACAGTGGGTTTGACTAGGCATAAAGTAGTAGGACCTTTCACAATAGTGAATTGCTGTAAGCTGACACTTTCTCGAATACAACTAGCACATTAGGATTTTTATTTCACTGTTTATCGTATGCGATTCTTAATGTAATGCGGGGATATTGTTTGTTTGATTAGAAATTCAACGTTTAATCAATGTGACCTGAATTGGAACACCGCTCCACCTACTTTGGCTTAGGCGACCAGAGAGTATCATAAGCTCCTGGAGAACAAGTGTAACTCACATCCTAGTACATAAGTTTGTACTATATTGAGTTGGATTATTATATCATTATTCCTAATATAAAGGAGAATGATGGGTCAAACCTGGTGCATTAGAATCGATGGGTATTGTTCAGGTATCTGACTATTGTAGGTAGAAGTGAACTTGAATGTGATATATTGACTGAAAGTTGAGTAATAATACCATCGGATTATAGAAGATTTAACCTCGCTACTATGATTGACTGACATTGACTGACACAACCAACGTAGAACCTGGCATACAGGTGCATCGGCTCAAGTTATTACACTTCGCAGTAGTACACAAACAACTGGTGGATAGAAAAGGAGTGATATCAAAGTAGATAAAGTGATGTGAGGATAAGCAATCTGAAGATAACAGTTATTGCGAATATTCAAGCTTCCGAAGATGTGAAGGAGTGAACATCTCTGTGCCGTCGTGACCAGTTTTCAGTCACTTCACCAAGACTTCTTAACCAATGGACCCAAACCAGAAAGTTTACATCTCCCCATGTGACTTACACCAACAGTTAGGGACTTCATGGACTAATACAACGTCTTGGTCTGGCCACTCTGAACCCTCTCCCAACCTAACCGAACTTAACCTAGTATGGGACATCAAGGTAGGTGGTGACTCGATATGCACAGAATTTTTTCAAGCCATCTCAATTGACTAAGGTTCACAATCTCATCAATCGACTTACCTGTATTGCCTAGTGTCCTTCGCCTGATCTCAACATTTGTTCGCATGGTGATTCCACCAAAGATGAGCAATGCTACGCAGACACCTATGATCGAACCCCTACAACCGCCTCATGTCTTTTGCTTGCTACTGTAGTTTGATTGTAAACCGTTTTAATGGATGGCTGTATATATAAACTTTTGCTGCCTTGTGAACATATCGTTCAGTGTACATTTCTTACTTGCTATAAACAAAGAGTCAGTGACAGCATGTATTGGTGCTGTGTTATTTCCTCTCACTCGTCAGACCTCCTTCACTTTACGGTATCCATCTGAATGCATGGAAATAATTATTAGCTTAAAAGACCTGAGAACTGTTAGATGGGTGAGGAAGATGGGTAAGAAGCCTCCTGGACCTAGGTCTCACGCTTGTTGTCACTCGTCAAAAATGACTATCTGTAGCCTTGAGCAAACTCATGTCCTCTAAGAGACTCTAACACGCATCACCCAGTGGTACAGTCGGTTACGGCTGGCCTATTCGCGCCGTCGTTGACTAGAGCACTGTTTACACACATGCTGATCAACTATTCCTTTACTCAACACCATACCTATCATCTCTACATCACTCATTCATTGGCTACAAGGGATTGTTAAGTTCTGTTTGATTTTCATATTATCTGCATTAACAATCCGTGTTTCGCAACTAAATAGCAAAGTAGTGTATTACTGCTCTATGCAGTATGTTTCACTGATGTTACAGATAGTCGGTATCGATACAGGTTATTGTAGCTTTTTCAATCGTAGTGTGGCCTCTTTGTTTCTTTCTAGGTAGACGAAGTTTTGCCACTAAAATAATCTATCTCTTAAAACACTCAATTCTTTGACCTATTTTACTCAGGTAAATAGGAACGCCGTATAAGTGCTGAATGCGTGTCAACAAAATGCTATCAGCAATCATGTGAATGTTTTTAGAGTAGGCAACGAGCCATAACTATTGTGAGAGGATTTATAACTTCCCAGACCTCGGTAAGTTGGAACCTCTAACCAACCTGTTGAGAGTTGAATGATTAAATCAATGAGCCACAGTTCCATGTGCCAACATTCTAGGCGTAATACTTAGGTGATTGCTTATGAAAACTGTTAAGTCTAAGAAATTAAATTTGCTTATAGTAGAGAAGTTGATTCTTGAAAAGTTGGACAGAGAAAAACGTAACTCCGAGAAAGTGTTTACAAAAGAGTTGAATTAGAATCCTGTGGAGTATATCGTACTTTGGAATAAGTGCAAAATTGTTTATTTATTATTTATTTTCCCTTGGGTTCCTAGTGGAACATAAGGCTTCAGTAGCATGCCTCCATTGCACTCTGTTCTCTGCAGTCTTTTGAACCTGGCTCCACCACTGCCCATAACGTTTCATTTCTTCCTCACATGATCTTCATATCACCCTCGGACGCCCAACTCGTCGTTTCCCCTTTGGATTCCACTCGACGGCCTGACCTGACGCGTGATGTCCCCAGTCGGCCCAATCCATCTCCACTTTCATCTTCCGCATATTTGTTGGGTGATAGGTTGTTGCTTGGTTCGTTGCCATAGTTCCTTGTTGCTTATTCTTTCTGGCCTTCTGGTCTGATCTTCATTATCGAGTGAGCGAGTGTTGGCGGCATCTGTTGATGAATGTCTGTAGTTTGTTGGAAATACTTTTGGTGACGCGCCAACTTTCTCAACCATCATATAGCAGCGCTGACTTGACGTTGGTGTTGAAAATGGTGATCTTGTTCACACTATATGGTGAGTGGAGTAGATCTCCACACTGATATCAGATTAATGAAGGCCTGTGTTGCTTTCTTTGCGATCGTGGCTGGTTTTGACATCGTCATCTGTGCCTGTGCCGCCTGTAGTTGACTGGGTAGGTGAAAGAGACTACTTCCTTTAAGTTTCTTCCGTTGATGGTGATTGTTGTTGTTGTTGGTTGGGTATCTTCATCACCTCTGTTTTCTCTATGTTCACTTGAAGTTCCGTTTTCGCTGCCTTTTCTGTCATCTTGTTAGTTTTCGCCTGTAGATCTTCGCGTTTGTCCGACATTAGACATAAATCATCCGCAAAATTGTAACGAACAGTTATTTTTGTTCGTTCTCAGAGAGGACTTCCTGATTTCATTCATACTGTATATTGTTACTTTCCTATTGTGTGTTTAACCCCGGGGTTAACTTTCACTTACTCGATGGAATCATCTTTATTCCATTTGTTCTTAATAAACAACTAATTGTTATCACCTGAGAATTGCAATACAAATTATTATGCTTTAAATAACGTAATTAGAAAATAAAGTTTATCCAAACAATATGTAATACATTTTTGTACAATAAACTTCGAACCATCTGATTAAACATTTACTTACCAAATCACTTATGATAATAGGGACTCAACTTGAGAAAGATGAGAACAGAAAGGAAGAGTGACATAGTCGGTTCTAATCTTGGTAAGAAGGCAAATTTTACCAAGGTAGGGTGTAGTGTAAGAAAAAAATGTTTTTGTACGCATAAAGGTGGTTTCAATTTGTGTATGGTTATCGCTTCCATAAATCTCAGTATACGTCCATGACTGTTTCCATATAAAACTTTGAACACTGCTGAACATTAATTCTTTAACCTTCTTTTAAAATATGTTTAGTTGTAGATGAAGAGGGTTGTTTCCCTCTTTCTCTCTCTGTGTAAGTGTTTTTAGAGCCATTTAAGTTCTTGTTCTCCCACCCTCAACTGCATGACCCGATTACGTCTCCCTATGTGTGTGTCCACAAACATCTGTAAACTGGTAAACACCGTAGGATATGACGTATTCATTTGTGCAGTGTTTAGGTTTGCGATGAAGCATATGTTTTATCTTTTCCACAGCAATAAGCGCTTAGCTGCATAATGGCAAATCTTAGCCTCCCTCTCAAACTCCTCTCTGTATGATAGAATGGTATGAACGCTTTTCTCAGGGACCGAGTATGAAGTGAACATTGGTGTTGATAAACTCTAACGGGTATCCGTTTTCTATAAGTGTTCAGTTCTGCAATCTGATACCTTCATCACGACCTGACAGTTTGCCACCTGAAGTTTTCAAGGATGGAGGTAGGAAATTACGAATCGAAGCTACGAAGGTACTAGATAAGTATGGGAATCAGAGGTAGTGCCACCGCACTGGTCTACTCCACTCATCATCTCGGTCTGTAAGAAGGGAAAGAAATCTTCTTGTGGCAAGGATAAGCAAATTAGTCTGACTAATGTTGTGTCCAACATCGTAGGGTCCAAAGTTATCTGACACCTAACCAGAGCTCGAGAATAGCAAACTCGATAAAACCAGCTAGGTTTCAGACCTGAACAAAGGTGCATCGATCATATTTTCCCCTCCAACAGGTTCTAGAACAAAGGCATACCTACCGGCCAATGGCGGACATTTGTCATTATCTGGAGGTCATTTGGTCAACTTGGAGTATGCAGACGATATTATCATGCTAGGGAAAGACTGACGAAATTCAGGGTCTTCCGAACGCGTTGAGCAGAAACCTGAGCATTTTTGGCTGGTATGCATTTTGCACCTGTCAGATGTAAGATGATGCTCTAGGACTGGTCTCCATCCACTCCCATTTAGATGAAAGGGAGTGAAGTAGTGAAATATGTCGACCACTTCACTTATGTGGGGAGTTATATCAGTCCAAAGGGGCTGGTTGCTGGCGAAATCTCAGCTTGGATACAGGAGGCCCGTTTGGCATTTGCCAACTTGCATCATCTGTGGTGCTGACTGACAAGATATCCAACTATCTATTAAATGACGAGTATACTGCGCTGCAGTCTGATCTGTCCTGATATATGGCTGTGAGACATGGTCGTTAAAATTAGACGACATGTAGCGATTACAGGATTCTGATCCCAAGTGTCTTCTTAGGGTTAGCATTGTTCCCGTTTAGTGTATTCACCGTATAAACAATGTTGAGGTCAAGTAAAGGATAGTGGGCAAGACAGGCAAGTTGAGTCAAATGTCTCAAACATGCACATCCCAACTCATCGCTTCCATCGATGTGCCATGATAGAAGTTGGACTAGGTTGGAATAAGCTTTAGGGTGGCCAGATCAAGACGTGGCAAAAGTTGATGAAGTCTGAGTCGTATGGGGGCAGTGTATACTGCCTAGTGATTGTCCTCGAGGCGAAAAGAATCAGTGGTTGAGAACTCTTGGTGACATGGCTGAAAATCGATCACAGTGACACAGATATATTTACTCCTTCAAATCTTCTAAAGTTTGAATATTTGCAGTAACTGTTATCTTCAAATTGTTTATTCTCTCGTTCAACTTTGTCTATTTTGATATCACTCTTATTCTATCTTTTTGTACTTCTATGAAATGTCGATACACCTGTATACGAGGTTCAACGTTGATTCTGTCAGTCAGTCATGATCATCCGTAGTTTCTGATGTTTCATATCATTATAAGGTTGATATTATTTGTAATAGAATAAAAGAGAGACTGAAAGTACTATTGGACAGAAGTAGCTACTGGAACCTTGTTGAATAAATGCAGTTAATTTAGTTCATTATTCTCTAGTTTTCTTGTTTTCATATTTATGAGTTGTAGAGCTGTGATCAGCTGATGTACTGAAAACTTCTGGTATATCAGCGAACATTTGACGCCTTAAAAGGTGTAAATAAATCATGGTTTTGATTCTCTTAATATATCCTGTAAAAAAATATTTTTCTTGATAAAATACTAAATGCAATTTAACTTGAGTTGAAATCTTTCTCTTCAAAAAAGAAAGAAGTATGTATGTCTCTTTTCTTTTTTATTATTATTTCTTTTACACAACATATTAGCCAATTAATACTAAAGAGGTGGATAACATTGTACAGAAATTGTTAAAATCTACAAGTTCATTGAAACAACTACTCATCCGTTGTGTTATCGATTATACATCGAATGCTTTCATGGCGAAAGAGGAATACTTGATGGCGTTAAGCGATGCAACTAAATTTGGTTGTGAACAACGCATGGATTCAGCGTCACAATTATTTCAGGTGATAATAACTTATAAATAATAATAATAATGATAAATAAATAAATAAATATTTTATTCTCATATTAGTAATTTAACATAAGAGAAGCCAGTTTACAGGCATCATCACATTGATATATGTTGGAAAATCAAGATTTTACGGGATCGAAATGGTACGGAATGGAGGTCATTAAATTAGATTAAAAACATCAGAAGATTACACAAGTCATGAAATGAACAAGAAAATACAACTTTTCAGCGTATATAGAGTGTTAAAGTTTGGATCGTTTTCAGTCATACTTCCTTTTTTCACCATTAGTGGTACCAAGGTCGCTCGAAATTCTAAGTTTCCGTTACAAGCAGTCGACTTGTTTGATTCCTCTTCGCTATGCCCCGTTACGCTAGATAAACGTCTATTTTATGATAAATTCTTATACTTATAACTTCGGGTACCAGAAGAACCCACACTGACGATGTTGATAACCTGTAAGTTTCCACATAATCACGTAATCCAAGTGAATATCTATTCCAGTGTTATCATTCACAGCAATATAGATTTATGCCATCAAAATTAGATATTGTGGTGCAAAGGAATAAACATTTGAAAAATTTGCGGACCAATGGCTCTGAGTTTTCCATATTGTTCACGTTAAGGTATACAGCATTGTCAAGGACGTATATTCACTGTTAGATGAAGTACTAGAGAAATCTGTTTCATAGCATTATTGTGAATATGTTCACTTTAAAGTTAATAGGTGAGTTGATCTCCTGGATTTTACTGTCTGTACAATAGTTTACTACTTTATTACACTGTAGTCATCTTAAAGGGATTGGCGAAACGTTCTACTCATTGACTAGTTTATGCTTGTCGTTGCTGTAGCTTGGGTATATGTTATAAGGCTTACATAGATTGTGCCTTTGGATACTAACTATCAGGATTAATTTTCCCGCACATTTAGAAATTAAGGTTAATCAAAACATTCGTGCTTTAGAAGAAATCAGAGAGTGAATACATTTGTGACCACAATTGTGTCAAATGTATTCACTCTCTGATTTCTTCTAAAGCACAAATGTTATGATTAACCTTAATTTCTAAATTCCCTCTTCTCCCATACACCTTTGTCTACTTTGATATCAGACTTGTTTGCATGCTACTGTGAAGTATGGACTTGTGTGTGTGTGTGTGTGTGTGTGTGTGTGTGTGTGTGTGCGAGAGGTTTCATGTTGATTTTAATTATGATGCCTCCATTTACTAAAATTTCGTACGTGAACACTAAGCTTCACCTGTTGATGCTAAAGTGAATAGAGTTCTACTATCAATTTCATGTTGTCTAGTCCTGAGTGCTTTCCCGTGACAAATCAATGCATGTAACCCAATCCTTCAGGAGGTGAATCGTGGCCCGAACATCTCAGTGGTAAAGTCGCTGACCACTACACTGAGTGACGTGGGTTCGAATCTCAGGCAGGACATCAGTTCCATCGAGGTTACAGATACGCCTCGCTGATGAGTGCCAACAAGGACGAAGCCTAGGTCCAGGGCTTCCTGCCGGTTTTCTCCAACCAGCTGAGTTCTACTATGCATAGAAATTCATACAGGTACAGTGTGGCTCATTGATTCCACATACTTCGAACCAGGAAAGCAATGCATTGCGTACCGTCCAAACTGTACCAAGTTTTTGATTTAAATAAGTAATTACACTAAGATAATTATTCTGTTATCATTTCGATAAGGAATTGGTTTGTTTTCACTACTTGCTAGCTGATTAGTACTTTATACCAACTCTCTAGCAATAAAACAAATGATTTACTTCTCTTCTTCTACCTTCTGCAACATCTAGAAACGTTCTGTATCTATGATATCATCAGCTTATCAACTGTGTTCCCTGAGTACAGATGAAGAATCACCTAGTAAAATTCAATTGGCTTGTCAACAAATTGAACAACTTGTACCACAAGTTATCAATATGGCTTATTTGCTTTTTAAATATCCATCATCTAAGGTAAGATATCCTCTTGTGTATATAGAACTTCCTTCCTTTTACTTGGATTTGCTCATTATTTATTTCACATGTTCTGATGGATGGTGGTGTATGCGCTGAGCTGCAGTTATTAACATGATGAATGTTACTTAAACGGCAGATTTACCAGGGGAATGGACATTGCAGACGTACAGTATTATGTTCTATGAACTTGGATAGTTGTCGAGAACTAGAAGCAATTAAAGATGATGTAGGATTATTGACTGCGAGACGTAAAGGAATATTAGGAATTAAGTATTTGGAAGGTGGACAATGATCTGACAGAATTGTGAGGGCGGTTGATAATTCTCGACTTCCCATACCATGGAAGGCTAGTTCTTCTTGAGGTACCTAAAAAAGAAGGGTTAATGTGTGACCATAGAGTGAGTACAAGGAATATTTGCTTGTGGTCGGTCACACACGACTTTTTTGTAAGTTTGAGATTTTGATTTGTCGCATTCATATGCGACTACAAACTAATTTCGAGGGCATCGACACGTCGCTGGGTAATGGGAATGTGCTATTTTTGGGTCCAATGTTTCTTAACCTCTGTCTTCTCGTAGTGAAGGCAACATCAGCGTTGTACAGCTGGTCTTCCAAGGAAAACATCTTAACGGTGTCACACTCGCGCCCAGCCAGCAGTATGACTTCGCTGTCGGACCCCATCATAACATAGCAGTTTGCAATTTAAAGGTAACTGCTTTTTGTCTAACTACTATTTATCAAACTTTTCTCGTATGGTAGGACCTGGAAGGAACAAGCGATCCAATATCATAGCTGGTTGGGTCATTGTTATATAAAAACCTGACTACCACTTAGCCGATTGAATTCTATCGATCACCTTGCAATGTGGTCACCAGACTAGGCAGCTCAGGATCGCGATGCATTTTGATAGGTGTTAGTTGGATAGAGGCAGTCCGCAGGAAGCCCTGGAGCAAGGTTTCCTACTTGTTGGTTCTCGTCAGTAAGGCGTATCTGCAACCTTAACAGAACTGATGTCCCGCCTGAGATTTGAACCCACGTCACCCAATGTTGTAGTCATCGACCCTACCAGTGAGCTGCTTGGGCCGCTATTGACCTCCTGTAGGACTGAATTTGATACATTGATTGGTCACTGGAGGGTAACCGACTTCATGTTGTCTAGTCCTATGTGCTGACCGAATTCTATCTATCACCTCGAAATATGGCCATCAGACTAGGCATCTCAGCATCATGATGCACTTTGATATATGTTAATTGGATGGTCTTTAACTTATGCTTCAGTTATGCACCATCTAACCGTAACCTAAATAAAACATTAAGGCTCGACCCACTCCACTCCAGTTTCGACCGAAGTTGAGAAGGTTGTTGAAAACCCCTGAAGTGAGGTGAAACCATAGGTTCTGGCTGTGTACAACTAAATGTTTTGCATGATTTCAGTTGGGGACGATTAACTATACCAGTAAGTGGTGTCACCTAAAGTATAGGAATCAAATTAGCCTCAAGCTGGCTTTGGTCCTTTGTTTATTTGAGATTTTGAACAAGGAAAGACATAATTTTACATTATGAGTACTTATTATATATAGAGTTTAGAAATGGCTGATTCCGCGGTCATTACTCCATGCCTACAAGCTACTGACTGTAGAACAGTCATATTGGTGTAAAGGAGACATCTTTCTCACTAGTCAGATCCTCATTCTGGAGGTTTATGAGGAATCGATTAATTTTAAATGGGTTTTCAGTACTCATTAACATCAACCAAAGAACCGTTACAAAGCAGAGAGCATTAGATAGCTGTTTTATCCTATCAGCAGTATATATCAATGCAGCGTATAGAGTCAAGCAATAAGGCTGTCAGGTCTTGTGGTGAGCATATGACCGCCCACTCACTGGGAGCTTATTTTCCATATTTTACCAATTCATAATAAATCATGACCATTATCCAGTGCATTGACGAGTATTTGTCCACTCTTACATTTGACTTTGTTGACTATATAGATCATGACTTCTTACCAGAATTTTGATAAGTTTATCTTTAAGCATATCACTAGAGAGTACTGAATTATTATTGAGAGAAGTTGAAAAACTGCTGATAATTCCGGAACTATAATGGAACTGTTTGGTTTTTGTGACTGAGATCAGTATGGGATGAAAATTCTTTTTGAATATATATGCTTGTAAGCTACTTTGGTCATATTACGTAAAATCAAGGCAGCATTTTCCATCATTTATATCTTCCTATGGATAGCCTATTATGAAGGTAACCTTTGAAGTATTTCCAAAATATGCGTGCCAATTGAATCATTTTATATATATATATATATATATATATATATATATATATATATATATATATATATATATATCATAAATTAGTTCTGTTATAGATACGTTTGAGTATGAATTTCTTTTCATTTATAAATGACAAACAAACAAATGAACAAATCAACTTAGACAAGCTTACACAAAAGTGCATCTCATTTCAATGGATATCAACGTAAAACTTTAGCCTTATAAATAGATTACAATTGCATTTTAGTCTTCTTATTGCTTATAATCATATCATAATAATATGATATGAATAAAGTAAGAAGAACAATAGTAGCGGAAAGAATTAGGATACAAGTGTTTCGTAGATTCTTCTCACCTGTTTTATAACCTATAGAATGTAATGTATATAACGCAGAAGTGGATTACCCTTTGCTATTTTGATTATGTTCAGATAGGTATGTAAATACGTAAAAAGATAATTATCCTATTGTTTTACTTATTAGTTATCCCTTGGGTTCCTAGTGGAATATAGGGCTTCAGTAGCACGCCTTCATTGCACTCTGTCCTCTACAGTTTTTTCCACTTGGCTCTACCATTACCCACAAGCTTTTCATTTCTTCCTCACACCATCTCCTGCATATCACCCTCAGCTTAGACGCCCAATTCGTCATTTCCCATTTGGACTCCACGCGAGGGCCTGGCGCGTGATGTTCCTGAGTGGTCTTCTCAGTGTATACCCAATCCAATCCATCTCCACTTTCATCTTCCGCATATTGGTTGAGCGATGGGTTCTTGCTTGGTTCCTTGTCAGAGTTCCTTGTTGTTTATTCTTATTATTCTGGCTATGTAATCTGATCTTCAGTATCGAGTGAATGAATGAGTGAGCGTAGGCGGCATCTGTTGATGAATGTCTGTAGTTTGTTGGAAATACTTTTGGTGACGCGCCAACTTTCTCAACCATCATATAGCAGCGCTGACTTGACGTTGGTATTGAAAATAGGGATCTCGTTTACGCTTTATGGTGAGTGGAGTAGATCTCCACACTGATATCAGATTAATGAAGGCCTGTGTTGCTTTCTTTGCGATCGTGGCTGGTTTTGACATTGTCATCTATGCTTGTGCCACCTGTAGTTGAGACGATGCTGTCTTGACTGGGCAGGTGAAAGAGACTACTTTCTTTAAGTTTCTCCCGTTGATGGTGATTGGTGCTTTCTGTTGTTGTTGTTGTTGGTTGGGTATCTTCATCACCTCTGTTTTCTCTATGTTCACTTGAAGTTCCGTTTTCGCTGCTTCTTCTGTCAACTTGTTACTTTTCACCCGTAGAACAATAGTAGCAGAATTAGGATGCAAGTATTTCATAGATACTCCTCAGCTGTTTTGCAACCTTTAGAATGTAATGTTTATAACAAAAAAGTATTTTACAGCGTTCTTCAATAAGTAGACGAATTGTTTTACGAAAGATAGTGCATGATGATTGAAGGTGAAATCAAAATTTGAACCGCAGTCGGATTCCAACCAGTGACCGCCTGGTTTCCGGTCCCGTGATGTACTTGCTGAGCACCAGGGCGGCTGATTCGAATCCTGTCACCGTTCGAATTTTCATTTCACCTTCAGACATCACCTAGTAACAATGATTTAACTTTGAGGCTTGTGGGGATTTATTGATTTTGGGTTGACTGATGTTGATGAAGTTGTTATGACTAGTCACAGATTAACCATTTATACAGTGATGAAATGAACAGTTGAGAGAAGATAGAAAAATAATTATGGGTGTATACATATAAATGAAAGAGGAGGGTTGTGCACAATGTTATTCTAGAATTTGAAAAAGAACGTTATGGTTAAGTAAACGTAGTAAAAGATCAACAGGATTCCATTACTAGTATTTATCGATGTGCTTGTAATTCTCCGTTGCTTTACTGGTTCGAATCGTTCGACCTCTATTGACAATCGGGCTCCTATGCGGATGCCTCGATATTGCCTGAATATTAATGTGGTAATTTACTTGGTTGTGACTAGCAGAGGAATTCAGTACGCGCGTGTCGTCCTATTTAGGAATCATCAGTTGGATGTACCTGCACCCCAGTTCATAGTGATATTGTTCTCACTGAGATTCGAACCTCATGCCCATTGCCTCAAATTCCAAGGCGTTATCTACTAGGCCACGTAGGCACGACAGCCACATCTTGTACAACTACAACCAAGTAAATTACCATAATTAATATTCAGGCAATATTAAAGCATTCGCATAGGAGCCAAATTGCCTTTAGAGGTCCAACAGTTCAATCCAGTAAAACAACAGAGAATTACAAGTACATCAACAAATAGTAGTAACTGATACCCGTTTTAAAAGAGGTGGCTACCATGCCTCCATGGCCTAGTAGATAACGCTTTGCCGTTTGAAGCGATGGGTACGAGGTTCGAGTCTCAGTGAGAACAACATCACTCTGCACTGGGTGCAAGTACATCCGGCTGATGATTCCGAAATAGGACGAAACGCGCTAGCAACAACCAAGTGAATTATCATAGGTTTTCATTACATTGAGAAATAAGATAAATACAACTCAGAAAGTGAGAGCAGGTTTTTAAATGCATCGAAAAATAAAGTATGAAATGAACTAATCATCATGAAGTCAAGAAATCTTGTACTTACAAATGTAGAAGATTAAAGTTATCAAGGTAATCGAAGAATGACAACAGTATCATCTTTCTGAATACATGGATCAGGTTTGAGTCTTTCAATTGCAAGTGCTTCAGTAAACCGCAAAAGAGTGGGTTTCCGTTGTTTATTGATCACTTTGAATGACTTTAATACGTCGTTTCACTCCCTATCTATATACTGAGAGTACTTGCAGCAGACCAGTCATAGAGCATCATCTTACATTTAATAGGTGCCAGCGAAACGCATGCCAAGCATACTTAGATTTATGTTCAACGCTTTCAGCGTCTTTAGCTGGCAGGGCAATATCATCTGCATACTCCAAGTCAACCGAATGACCTCCAGGAAGGCTAAAAGGGTTAGTGATTCAGGCTGGAAGAAACCTTGTCTGTAGTAGTGTTTAGTTCATTGCTTTGGCTCTGTCAACTAATCTACAAGACCTAGGTGTTGATTCAACTGCAGTTACATTCCTGTTATTCATAGTTGTACAAGCGGTGATAACAGTCGATTGGCGCCGGGTGGGAGGAAGAGATAATGCGCAGTAAAATAGTAGCGAGCAAGAACACTACACACTGGGATGCGGGATAGGGGAATATTTGTGAATATGACTTTGATTTCTTTGTCTCGCTACCCATCTTTTGGTTGAAGATTCCTTAGACCCCAGGATAGTGGTATCAGGACGTTCATGAGGGAATTCGAGGGAGTTGTTTGGAGTCAAGAAGCCGGAGCAATTTGGAGCTTTTCTAGGGAGGAGGGATGCATGGGTTCTGGAACGGCTGGTGGTATAGTTGGATAACTCAATGAATAAAATCCAAGTCACGTAAAGAGTATTGTCTACTTTCATACTGGATCTTTATCGGTCGTTTTTATCACTCCCGTTGTTTCCCGATATTCGAATGATATTCGTTCTTATCAGTAGCGTTTATCACAATACTAGAAACCATTGTATTCATGGTTTTTGACTTATCGTTCTGTGCATTATATTTCTTACTCTTTGTAGATCATCCATGCATATTTTCTTCTTTCACATTGTTTCCTCTTTTCCTTACAGTCCGTGGAATCGAACTATGAAGCATTTTGTAAGGCATACGAAGAAGCTGTAAATCTGTTGTATGCCTCTGTCAATGAATTAATCGGTATGCATGATTTCTTAGCTGTATCCGATGATTTAATGATGATGGAATATCAGAAGTCTATTCGTGCTTTATCAGTAAGTAGTGTTATTCTTACCTTTTTCTTTTTCTAAACAAATTATTTCAATCTATAATATTATTTTAAGCTTTCAGGTTACTATCAGTGTATGCAGCTACGGTGCGTTAGATTACACACGACGTTAAACTCATGGATCATGAGTTTGAGCTCCATACCCGCTTTGATAAAGCTGGGACAGTCAGTTTCATTGTATTGTGTACGGAACTGTATATGGTTACTGAATTCTGCTCTACATACACTGACAGTTTTATATGATGATCTCGGATACAACAACTTGAATCAAACATCCATATTTTGATATTTATCAAAGTGACTATAATTGACGTTTGATAAATCAAATCCGGCTAACTGATTGATTGAAAATTAGAGTTCTGTTCCAGTTAATACTGAAAAAATCTAATTTGATTGGCTCCTTCACACATTAGGAAGATCTGTACGATATCCCTTCAGTTTCATGACGAAAATTCACGAGCTAAGCGATGCAGTGAGAGAATCCCTACAGTCTCGTGGAAATATAATTTATGAATTTCGGTTTTATAGGCGATACTACTAGGGAGGTCATCAAAAAACTGTTCGACAAGTTCGATAATTAGGATTCGCTGATCAACAGTTGATCCGTGGATGTACTATGGACAAACTGTCACTTTGGGCTACATAAACGGGTGTCTGGAAGTTTACTTGCTCCTTTCAAGCTAGTTATATGATTCGAATAAAGTATGCATTTCTTTAAGTCAGCTAGGTGACCTTAAGACAGAAAACTTAGAACCTCGCACACAAGTGCATCGGTTCAGTTTGTCATATTTCACAAATACCATACCAAAGAACGAGTAGATAGGAAAGGTATATCAAAGTAGAAAAACGTGTATCAGAGGAGACGGAATTCAAAAATTAAGGTTATTCGAAGCATTCACGCTTTAGAAGGAATCAAAGAGTGAATACATCTACGCCATCCTGACCAAATATCAGCCATATCACCAAGAGTCCTCAACCACTGGTTCCTATCGTTTCAGGGACCCCAACCAGACAGTCTACATCTACCTGCGTGACCCAGACTAACAGTCTAGGACTTGATCGACTGGTATGACGTCTTGATCAGGCCACCATGAACCTTCTTTCAACCTAATCCAAACTCCTCTGGCATTACACTTCGAGGTAGGTGGCGACTTGGCATGTGTAGCACATGTTCAAGTGACCTCAGTCGATGAAGGTTCGCATTAGGACTTTTTCTACTGTGTAACGCTCCAAGTTATCGTGCCTGATATCAGAACATCAGGATACAAAGCACTAAGATAAAAGATACATAAATAAGGAAGTGAGTTGTTTAAAGTAGTGAGATAAAGACACGAAGGAACAGAACAATAATGAAATTCGATATGACGTGTTACTATTTAAACTCTTTTCCGGTCGATAGCTGCTACCTTGACGTGATGGTTGACCTTGTATATGACAGTGACCTAACCAGCTACACTGGCTGGAACCCTTGTTCCCTCTAGCTTCTACCATGCCAGATAGGTCTGTTGAATAGTGGTAAGACGAAGACCAGTTACTACTGTAGTGTAAGTTACTACACTATGATAGGAGTCTAATGGTGATGTCATACTACCGGATGGGTGTGTGTGTGTATGACAACAGTAAGGTGTTTCTCTTGGATGACCAGCAATGCCACACTAATGCTGCCATCCCGGTGCAAAGCAGATGGGGGTGGGGTGTGTGGGTTAGAAAAGGTCAGCGGAAACGGTAGCACTCTCCTCCCTGCCCCACGGTCTTCGTGTACCAGCAGGATGGATTTTCTTTGTCGGGCGTTAGAACAACCAAACCTCAAAACAGCAACCCGAAAAAGCTGTGTGTGAAAAACCTCAAGCAGATGTTTCATGGACTCTGTGGTCACACAGATGTTTTTCCCTTCCAGGTAAGTTAAGAAAATATTTTATCTCTTTCCGCTTTTAGAAACAAATTCTTATCCTATTCTGAAACATTATATTTGATGGTTCAAAGCCACCCTATTGAATGATGGTTGATTGTTATCTGTCTCCAATGCTCATAAATATATTTGTACTGCTTTCATAAATGCTAATCTTAAGAAGCGAAAGCTTCGTTGCTGAAGTGTCTTTCGTTTCCGTTATGAAAGCTTTTATAACTCTTGGATGGTAGGGGAAGTGGCCATGGTTAATGATGGGCGTTAGTCACTTTCTATATGATTTCTGTTGTTTATTTATTTATATTGGGTGATGATTGAAAGTAAAATGAAAATTTGAACAGCGACCAGATTCGAATCAGCGACCACCAGGTTTGCGGCCCGATACTCTACCAACTGAGCTACTAGGTCCAACTGCTGACCAGATTTTTATTTCGCTTCAATCACCAAGGGTTTTTGCTTGAGTACTATCGCTTGATCGTACTCACACTGGCTACCTAGTCGGGACTTCTCATCCCAATCCAAATGTAATTGAATTAGAGAGGGGGAGCATCGTATTGTTTATCATTTTGACTATCTGAAGTAATTGAAGGTGAAATGAGAATGTGGACCATTGTGGGGTTTGAACCAGCGACCATCGGGTTTCCAACCCGATGCTCTACCACTACGGGTTAGCTATAAGTTACCACTCTAACTAATTATAGCATTCTGCTTACTTTCTCACCGAGATGGATTCTACCATAGTTCTGTGAGTAATACATGTTTCATACGAATGGGTTACTGAATCGTATCCGATGTTATTCAACGCCTGCATGCTCAATACTGATCAAGTTTACCATATGACTACTAAGCTAAGTAACGCGACACTGCGGTCCTCTGTATTACAGAGGTTTACCATGTTTCTTATAGGAAATCAGCAAATCCTTTTAAATTCAGTGTGGTATTCATTAACACCCTTTCTTTTGGCAGCATTGTTTTTGAACTGAAATAACACAGTGTAGTTTAACCGATTAAGCTTTAAGTATTGGGTGTCAGGCTTTAATACTATTCCAGTTACCAAAGCTTAGGCAAATAGGCAGTATCCTGCAACCCTACAGAATCATTTTATCAGTGAAAACTGTTTGTATCCATGAGATTTTTGAAGCTACAGTTAAACAAAGCCTAATGCTCAGCATTTGAATTCCAAATAATTGTTTTCTTCAGTGAGGTTGGATTCATCATGGACTGACATCAATTAGAGAAGCACTGAAAACCTAGTACGGGATTTCTCAGTAGTACTCACCGATGGTCCTGACTCATCAAGGATGGAATTCAAGATCTTTAGACTTCACTACGAATGCGTTAATCATTCAGTCACCATCCAATGGCTGTTTAACTGATATCAAAATTAAAACCCCCACTAACATCAAAATGCATTACTGTATAGTGTTGTTTAGTGACGTGCTTCCAGATGGATATCCTGAAGTTCTGACGAGAAGTCGTGGTCTGTGGGGTCAAGTAGTCGGAAGGGAAGTGGATGCCAACTAAAGATCTTGGGTGATAGTCGCGCTATATTACGAAGTGACAGAAGTTGGAAACTATGATGCACTGAACTCTGACCCAGTGACTGAATGGTTAACGCGTTTGCCATGAAACTTGGAGGTCGTCAGATTGCTTCATGGTAGGGCAGGGCCGTGGAGGCGTACTGCTGAGAAGTCCCAAACTAGGACAACACAACTGTCAAGTGCTCCCAGATTTTCAATGGTTCTCCAGTTCGTGATGAATACACGCTTATATATACGTGGATCATGTTGAAATTTGGTGTTTAGCTATTTAATAATAACACACTTCTCAGGTTAGTTGATATGATTTACTTATGAGATGGCATGCATTTCCTAAATTTGTAAATGTCTGGTCATAGTTGACGAAATAGCCTTCGACCCATATCAACCAATAGTTTTCTCTGTATTTATGATATACTCAGCGATGGCCGTCGTTATTTTTGATCGCACTGTTTCTCGTTTGAATTCACTTTGTTCAATATACTACTGTGATTTTTAATAGCCAGATTTTAAAACCTACAGAGGAATCCAAGATGTGTGTTTCGTCCTACTTGGGACTCGTCAGCTGGATGTACCAGTACCCAGTGAGTGATGTTGTTCCTACCGAGGCTCATATCCAGTACCGTTCACTTCATACACCAGAGCATTATCTACTAAGGCACTGGGCCAAGATAGCCACCTCTTGAACAACGAGTGTCAGTTGTCTTAATGATACTTGTAATTTCCTGTTGTTATGCAGGGTCGAATTGTTCGACCTGTGTTTAAATTCAGTTATTGTATAAAATCCACTCTTCTAATCCGGTTCATTCAACTGTGGCTCATTGGTTTAGGCGTATACATTTCTACTGCAACTAGTCACAGAGTTCGAACCCAGATTCATTTATCTAAAATTATGCCACTAAGTTGGGAATACCATTAACCGTCATAAAATAAATATGACTCAGAATCTTGTACATAAACATATGTATAATTTTTAAGTCATACAATATTTGTCATTAGTATTTCTTAATTAGTGATTTTTATCCAGTGTGTTTCGACTTTTCACCTAATAACTTGTTGAAAGTATAAAAACAGCTTTAACATTTTGCCCTAATTACTTAGGATAAAGACGAATTGAATGTCCAGCAAACTTCTACTTCAATGCAACAACGTTCAGCATATATCTGTGAAATGGTGCTAAATAAAATGATTGCACGAACTGAAAATACCGAGTATGTAGATCAAGTGATGGAAAAAGTAACACTTATACGTGATCAGGTATGTAAAGCATGATGTGCTGAAATTTGGTTGGCTGATTTCACTAGCTTTCTTGTGATTTGTTGATTCTACGTATTTGATATAGTGGAGATGATGACTTATTTCTGATTGGTTACTTTTACTGATGCCTAGATCTTTTTCACTCAGCAATATTATTCACCTTTTATACTTTATTCAAAGTGATTGTCTTGGGAAATAAATGATGGACCCTGGAAGGCACTTCAGTGAAATTAGTTTAGATTACCAATAAGGCTTAGATAAGGGTAGTATTTAAATCTAATAACTCAATTTAGGTTAGAAGGTCCTATGATGAATCCCTTAATAAATAATTTAGTTTCTCAAATTCAATGCAGCGATCATGAAGTCAAGTACGTAGGTCGAAATAGACTATCAGTTTCAATCAGGTTGTCTGAGTACTACAGCTAATATAAATTAACATTATTAGGAATCTGAAGTAAAGCTCTACTATAACTATGCATGAGATCGCCTACAACCACATTACAAAGTGGGGCCAGAACGTTAGTATTGAAAATCAACCAAGTTGATTGGAGGGAGAGATTTATAACCGCAACTTTGTGTATCGAATCAGGGTCAAGTACATGCAATAAGAATAACTCAGCACCTGTTCCGGATATATGGAAAATACCACTACTCATATTTCAAAGAAGAAGAATGAAATAGAACTGTTTAAAGTAGTGAAATAACCTCAATATGACTATGAATAGTAGATTGTATCTGAAACGTTATCCATTACACAATTTGGTCATGAATTAATGTTTCATTTAGCTTTCCACCCTTAGTGCTTAGCTCTGATGCAAGTCTATCGACCGAGTTTTGCGATATAGCGACTAAGCGAAGTGATGCGACATATAATTTTCTAAACAAACTAATATTGATAATTATTTATTTAACATAAACTCGGTACAACATTGGTATTACGGAATTAATTACACTGATGACTGACTGACAAAATCAACGTAGTATCTCTTACATATGTCCATTGGTTCGAGTTGCCACACTTCACAGTAGTACACAAAGAACAGGTGGATAGAAAAAGACTATCAAAGTAGATAAAGTTGTATGATAAAATAAACAATATGAAGGTGGAGGTTAGTGAAAATATTCAAGCTTTAGAAGATGTGGAGAGTGAATACATCTGTGCCATTGTGACTAATTTTCAGCCAATTCATCAACAGTCCTCAACCACTGGTTCCTGTATTCTCAGGGACCCCAACCACACAGTCTACATCTCCACACAGGACTGAGACGATCAGTAAGAAACTTTATCGCCTGGTATGACATCTTGGTCTGGTCACCCTGATTCCCCTTCCAACCTAATCCAGGTTCTCCAAGCCTAGCACATCGAGGTAAGCGGAGGCTTGGCATACTCAGTCGACTAAGGTTTATTGCAGTATATCTCTGTTCGTGCGAAAGCCAACGTGACATCTTAAGGGACAACTTTCTAACCTTTGAGTTTACATCTAGTCCACAAGACAATGGAACGACTGTAGGTGCCACATTTCCATGTCTATCAGTAAATAAAGTAGACTAATTCATCATTGCTTCAATCTAAATCTTGAAGGCAATTTACATCAACAGTCGTTTAAGATGAATATTCTTTATCCACTAATCCAGCAATAAGCATCGCATATTCGCTTCCACCCTTCCACTTTTGCGGAAGCATATTCATCATGTGAAACATAGTGAATAGGATATACTCGGATTGATACTTTGAACGCATAGCTTAATGGGGAACATTATTAAGAGGAATAGTGTACTCTGCCCATCTTCAACTATATCAGGACATACACGGAAACACAGCTGTGATAACATACAAGTCTGCTTTACTACTGACTAACGAAAGTAAATAATCCTGATCATTCAACTGATCGTGTAGAAAACGTAACCAATCAGAGGATGTAGTTGATACTTGCCAAACACTATTCATTTAGGACTATTCAGGAGTACTTATGTGTGCATCAACAATTCATTATTCCTGCATATTTAGAAATTTCTAACATAAAAATGCTTTTACTGTAGGGTATAATAAGAAGACGTAAGCTTAAATGCCTATCCATAAAAGTACACTTTGTATTTAAAAAAGTTTTTTTACTGTCTTTAGAAACTATCATATTGACTGTGTTAAGGCTCATTATTCAGGTCACACTAGGTAAGGTTAACACTTGAATATTCAATCAGTCAGTGTGTCTATAGGCTTTTAGTAAAACACTTCTTACATTCTGAAAATTGCATAATATTGTTTGATGAATAATATTGCCGATGTGAAGCTACATCGACTGTTATGGCTGGAACATATATTTCACCGTCTGACTAGTTACGCAATACGAACTAATGAAGTAGGTTCAGGCTGAAAAAAAAATTCGGGGCGGAAAGATTGAAATATGACATGAAGTCTTTGACCATTGGAGATGTAGATTAGCTAGTTGGGATCCGTGTGGCAACTGGAGCCAGTGATTGCATACTCTTAGTGATATGCCTCTGAATCGATGTTAGGTAGAGTGAAGATGTATCCATAGTATATCTTAATCGTCACATTGAATTCAGCATATTCTAATCCCTCCTTCCTCTCTCTTACTGATTTCAACTTCTTCTGATCGATTCTTTTCTATTTTTTCATCCTTCATCTTACTGCCTTGTTACTTGATGTGCTGATATGAGATGTGGCAACTTGGATCGTTGTGTAGTAATGTCTGGTCCTATGTTAATATTGATTTTACTTTTTCCAATGATTAATATACGTATAGTTTTTTTTTTATGAATGCTTTATTATTTATCCCATTTTCTGTGTTTACCAAACGCACATATACACACATACACACAAACAGTATACACCAGATTTTGTGAATACAGCACGTAATACTCTCAGTCGATTAGCTGCTGGCCAGTCAATTGATGAAAAAGCATATCGTAGATCTGGTCATGCATTATGTAATGGTGTTCATAATCTTCGATTAACTGTATTGAATGAATATGAACTACCATTCACTGATATGGAGTCATTAAATTTACAAGATGATTATTCTAGTCCACTTCCTGATTCTCATCGTCATCCTCAACATCTTCCTCAACATCATAGTGGAAATAACAGTTTATATTCAAGTAAAGAGATGCCATTGAAAGATGATAATAGAACTAACTCAATGTTGGCACTACCACCCGATCGTGATTCGACCTCCAATCATCCTGTATATGAACTTCGTAAGTATTTACCATATAACAAATATATTAAGTGAAGAATTTTTTCTCGAATTTTTTTCTCTTCATTGTCTTTTATTATCTTAGAAAACAAAAGTGCTAAGTATTAGTAAACGCAGGTTAATACTCTGTTAAAAGTTTTCTGTAAGTATCTCACAATATGAATTATAATTCTTGCCTATAACCTGGGTTTTGTTTGATGTCTTTCTGAAGAGTAGTTTGAAAATTTCCTTGAAAATTTGCCTTTCGTTTACTTCTTAGACTTTCTAATTCATTATTTTGTAGTGATTTTTTTTTCTTCTGGTTTTGCTGGGGGTATCCTGACAATAAATAAATTACTACGAAGTTGATTCGCATTGTAAAGTTTATGATATATTTCATAATACTCACTTCTTAACCAATTCTATGATTTATACCATGTTGACACCTTCAGTTGTTTTAGTTAACTGTGTTGTAGATCATTGATGGATAAACCTGCCTTCATATTAGTAGTAGCAGTAGCCCTGGTAAGTTGAAACTGAAAATGTATACAGATTCTTGGTAAAGTCATACGTTTTTCATAGTTTTTATGTATGGAGTAAATGGAGCATAATTAATTAGACACGTAACGTTAATCGCTTCGAAGAGGTTTAAAATGTCAACGGGAATGAAATTCAGTTAAGAAGGGGGGGGGGGGGGTTTGCTGAATCTTTGATGGATGTGTGAACTAACGCCTTGGAACTCTTATTCATTTTTTTCTATCTGTGTTAATACTTTCTATATAATGAGAATATTGAAAAACTGGAAACCACCAGCGTTATGTAGTATGAGGGATTTTCACTTCTTCAGTAAAATGAAACGAAACGTACTCAACAACCTTGTGCACATTCGTGTGAGGACTATAGATGATACTACCTGATTACCTAAACCTCAGTAGGTGAGGGAGGGTTCGAGCTCGTGACCCATTAGTTGAATGTTAATCGCCCAAACCATTGAGCCACAACATCTTCAATATCTTATTCAGACTAAAAGAGAAACTGAATGAACTGGGAATCGATCCATCCTGTCTTGGAGTGTTACTGTGAAGAACCAAAATAACTATTCTTTTCTTAGGTACTGTACACCAAACTAGATTTATTGAGAAACACTTGAAATTAAAACAGAATACGGAGCAAGTACTCACAGTTCCAAAGAAGACCTTGTTTATAAAGGTTGGTTTCGAAGGTGATACAGCAGCAGAGATTCTGAAGAATCGACTGTCCAAACCGCTGAAGAAGACATTCTTCTGTGTGAAGTTACAGATCAGCTTTTCTAGTCAGCAACTGGTTTCGGAGAGCGTAAAAGAAAAGTTGCTGCTTTGAGTCACCTCAGTGTGTGTCTATAAATTTATTTGATCCTGTGGAGCTAGTTATATAGGCCGCACAAAGCACACACTTCCCAAACGTATCTCTGAACACTATCCTGCATGGTTGTCGAGGGGACAATATAAATCAATTAACAGTTTAATTCTTGAACATTTGGTCAACTCTGAACATATAAAGTCAAATGGAATACTACAAAAGGAGTGTGCCTTCGACAGTTTTGCACAGCTGAAACACTGGCAATTCATCAGTTCAAGCTTAGTCTCTGCATGCAGAAGAAGTATGTTCAATCTCGTATCTTACCATGGTCTTGACACTCACATTTTTCGATCTCACTATTATTATTTAGTTTATCATTATTATCACCTTCATTATGACTCTTGTCTCATTGTTCACCTTCTTTACATTCATGTATCTGCTGTCAAGTGGATGCTGAATATTCGCACTTCTTATCTACCAACAGTTTTCACTTTGCTAAACGCCTTACATTTCTCATTATTTCCTTTGTCTAGAAGACTATTACGCAACTACTTTTCATTCTTAAGTTGGGTTTTTTTAGCACTAGTTTAGTGTTGCAATTTTTTCTTAATCAATAGTTGCCCAAAACCCTTGTCATCATCTATGCAGTACACTGCAGCGCAATCCATTACCAACATGGGGTGGGTATAAGACACACCTATTGAGTGAGAGCTTATGATAATACCTACGATTGTCCAGATTGAATTAGGTGAAATAGGTCATTATCACTGAAAAACGTCAAGTTTCAGAACTTCCCAACTATATGTACACAAATAAACAAATTTCACGATGTTAGCAGATGTTGCTTTCGCTTTCAACAACAATAGATAGATACACAATTCATAAAAAAACTTTGTTCAACCTTTGAACACAGCTAAGTTACGCACAGTTGTGAAATTGTGGTGCCACCGCAATATCTGATTAGTTATTAAGGGTCGAGTGTACTGTACTGCATTCTGCTCTGTTCTACTCTACAGCTGTGAAACATGGCCATTAATGCTAAAAGACATGAGAAGGCTTCAGGTGTTTGACCATTATTGCCTTTGTGGCATAGACCGTGTTTCGTGGTGTCAGCATGTGAGTGACGTCGAAGTCAGATATAGAGTTTTAGGCAGGAGAGGTAAGACAGGTGATGTGGTTGTGAACCTTCATCAACTGAGATGACTGGGACATGTGTAACGCATACCTAACCATTGTCTACCTGGTTAAAAAATGTTGACCGAGGTAGATTGAAGCTGGAAAAGGGCTCAGGGTGACCAGACTAAAACATGGCATCAATGTATGAAGTCGTTTATCATTGGTTTAATCTATGTATGGAGATGTAGACTGGTCGGTTAGGGTCTGCGGGACAAGAGGAATCCGTGGTTGGAGATTCTAGTTGATATGACTGAGAACTGATGTCACTGGTGTAGATATATACACTCATTATCCCCATCTTAACAGTTATACTTGATCAATCTCATGATTTTCTCTTTCTTCCTTCCTCTGTTTTACTGCTTTCGACTTCTTTTAACCGATTCTTCTCTATTTCCTCCTCTTTCATCTTACTGTCTTTTTACTTGATATGCTGTGTTTGCATTTCTCATCTATCGATAATTTTTACTTTTGTCAAACTCCTTGCCTTCCTTGTAATTTCCACTGTCTAGAAGATTATTACGCAACTACTTTTCATTCCATTGTACAACTCTAGAAAATGAAGTCGGTGGATAAGAAAAGTTTCTTCGCCTAATTATCTCTTCTTTTCTCATTTGAAAGTATCATTGCATGTTAGAAAAGATTTAATTTCTCAGTCATTCAGCATAAGGGTATGAATGAATAACCAACAGATGGTAATAACACGTGAAAGCACATCGACACTGTAGTTGGTGAATTCACTTTGTCAAACTTTAAAAGAAAATCGTGATATTTATATCAAAGTGTTTTTCAAGCTAGAAGTGTTTCGAACATTCTATTCATATTATTAAATTGGCGGCAGTTTCCTCTGGAATGTTTATCGAAATGAATTCTACTCAATTATCATTCGATGTGTTGTCCTGCTTAGTTTGTTTGTTCGCATTTTCAGTATTCGGTGACCATACTACATAATTCTAAAGGTGAATAAAAAAGAAAGAGGATGACAGAAGTATTATTGAAAATCATAAACAACTTAATAAGATGCACAAATAAATCACCATGGACCCTGACATAGAAGTAAATCGGTTGTCACACTTCACACCACCATCCAAAGAAGAGGAAATGGATGGGAAAAGTGATATTCAAGTAGATAAAAAGAGTATTGGGAAAGCGAGAATTCGAAGAGATGAAAGTTATTAATGATTTCCAAACTTCAGAAAACATCAAAGAGTGCATATATCTGTTCCATTGTGGTTGATTTTGAGCTATGTCACCAGCAATCTCCGACTATTATCTCAGAAGACTCTGACTAGGTGGCCTACATCTCATTCATTGGTCACTGGAGAGCATCCGATTCCATGTTGTCTAGTCCTGAGAATTGGTCATTTTGCAATATGGTCACCAAGCTAGGCGTCTCATCATCTCGGTGCACTTTGATAGATAGAAGCAGTTGGCAGGAAGCCCTGGACCTAGTTTTCGTGCTCATTAGCACTCGTCAGCGAAGCGTATCTGTGACCTCTAGAGAACTAATATCCTCTGTGAGATTCGAACCTGGATCATCCAGTCTACTCTATTGCATGCGGCTCAGAAAAACGGTTATTGACGTCATGGACTGGGACCATGTATTGGTTTTGCCTCACAGCTAGCTATATAATAGGACGGAGAGGACTGCAACGCAGTATACTCATTCAATAGTCCAATGTCTTGCCAGTGCCAGAGATGGTGTAAATTGGCGAATACCAAGCAAGCATTTTGCATTTGAGCTGAGATTTCGTCAATAATCAATCTGTTTGGTCTGATGCAACACGGTAGATAGTGAGAATAATGTAGGAGCCTATAAAGAAGTGTGTCTGTTAGTCGGTATACCTCACAACATTACAGAAAGAGAAGGTAAACAGAAGTAGAATAATATTGAGATAAACAAAAGTGATGTGACAGAGTGAAGAGGAACAATTAAATGAAGGTTAGTGGAATGTTAAGAAATCATAAAGCATGAATATATTCTTCATCAGTGTAATGAATGAAGGGTCTCCGAACATTTCTTCATACTATCTAGAGGTCCCTAGCTTAGGCAGTCTACACTTCCTTACATAACTCACACCAATAGTAGCAGATTTCATGGAATAATGCCGTATCTAGAACTGCTGACATTAATGTTTCTTCGAGTGCAAACTTCCTTCAAAAGTGGGTTGACTGATGTTCATGACACGTATCTTAACCACCTAACAGCGTGTGGAGATTGACAAACTGATGAACTTATTTATCTTCTGTTAAAGTGTGGAATAAGATTATCATAATCTTCATAAAAAGCTGTAAACCCCTGAATCTTTTTACAACTAATGATGTTGAATCGAGGTTTCACGAGAAAGCATGTGAGCTAACGTGTAAACATCAGATTGACTGAAGAGATAGGAATCAGTAGAGTATTCAAATCTAGAAAGGCCTGGGAATATCCAAGGTCATTAAAAGTATAATTAACCCTTGTAAATATTTTCGATATTGCAATACACCTTCTGTTATCTCACCGCCTTT